GGAAGTTCCTTGTTGTTTTTTTTTTTAGAAAACTCCATACTGTTTTCCATAGTGGCAGCACCAGTCTGCATTCCCACCAACAGTGTACTAGAGTCCCCTTTTCTCCACACCCTCGCCAGCATTTGTTGTTTGATGATTTGTTGATGGCGGACATTCTGACAGGTGCAAGGTGATACCTCATAGTCGATTTAATTTGCATCTTTCTGGTGATAGATAGTATTTTGATAGTATACCTCTAGAGGCTGTCTGGAGAATAGATAGCAGGGAAGCAAGAATGGAAGCAGAAACTGTTTTTGAGGTTGTAAAAGTAGGTGCAAATCTTGGACCAGGATAGCAGCATTGGAGGCAATGAGAAGTGGTTGAATTTTAGAGGAAAAGCCAAAAAAATTTGCTAATGGATTGGGGATTGCATGTTGGGGGGGGGGGGGGAGAGGACTCAAGGATGACTCCAAGGGTTGTGACCTGAGAAGCTGGAAAAGTGGAGTTGCCATTTGCCGTTAGCTGAACTGGGAAGAATGCAGGAGGAGCAAGTTTCTGGAGACAAGCAGGAATTCAGTCTGAACATGTGAAGTTTGAGATACCTCTAAATGTCTGTAATGATTAATTTTGTGTGTCCACTGGAGGGTGTTTTTTAAATGAGATTCACATTTAAATTGGTGAACTTTACATAAAGGAGACTGCCTTACATGTGTGGATAAGCCTCATCCCATCAGTTCAAATCCTGAATACAAAACAAAAAACTACCTCCCCAAGCAAGAAGGAATTCTCCAGCAGACTATTTTCAGACTCACCTGTACCATCAGCACTCCAGGGTCTCCAGCCTGCCAGCCCCACTGCAAAATTTAGATTTCTCAGGCTCCATAATCAAGTGAGCTAATTCCTTATAGTAATTCGGTCTCTCCTTCTCTTTTTCCACCCTCCCTCCCATCTCTCTCTCTCTTTCTCTCTCTCTCTCTCTCTCTCTCTCTCTCTCTCTCTCTGACTAAATCAAATCCAAATAGAAACAGTGAGAAGCAGCTGGATACATAAATCTGGAATTCAAGGGTGAGGTCTACATACCTAAATGTTTAGCACATTAACAGTCGAACAGTATCTAAGAGATGAGACCAGAGAATAAGGAGATATGGAGAAGAAAAATGATCCCAGGTCTCAGTCTTGTGAAACTCTATTGTTTAGAAACTGGGACTATGAGAAAGAACTAGAAAAATATTGAAGGAACAGCCAGTGAGGTAGGGTGAGAATGAAGTGTGAGTGTATTCCCAGCAAACAAGTGAAGAACGTGTTAAAAAGAGGGACTGACTAATCATCTGTGTTAAATTATACTGACAATGTGAAAAGTGAGACATTACCAATATGTCATTTTCTAAGGAGATACCTGCTGTAATGATCAATGCTGCAACTCAACAGAAACTATCATAAAGCTGCTCAGTGAACTCTAATTCACATCTTCCTACAAAAGAAACCCTGGATCCCAATGCCTCATAGCTCTTGCACTATTCCCACAATACACCTTTACATGATCTCTAGACATCAATGGATGATGAGTTGGGAATTCTGACTTGTATTTCTCAAGATATACCTTTGACTCACTAACAGTTACATAAAATTTTATTGCAACATATATGCATACATTTGCTCAATAAAATTAAGTGCCTATCTTATTCCTCACATTGTGGTAGCCACTGGAGGTGATGTGGTGAGAGAAACAGTCTTGACTTTCAAGTAGTGCACACATGGAGACCAAAACAATTACTGAATACTATGAGAAATGTACTAGATACTGTGGGGGAAACACAGGAGAGGCACAGACTTGGAGAAAGTGGGAGACAATGAAAGGTATGAAATAAGGGAGTAACGATGATAACGCTGCCAGATTAGAGAGAAAGAAGAAAGGTGGCAGGAAGGATGCTGCTATGGCAATAAGGAAGATAAAAATGGTGAGTGTCTGTAACAAGGCAATGGAGCTGGGAAGAAGAAAGGAGACAACCAGAAGGTAGAATGAATGGACATAGTGACTGATAGGGGATCAGGGAGAAAGAGAAGTCTAGTCTAGTTTACCAGGTAGATACTGACACCACAAGCATAACAGATTTGGGAGACTGAAAAGGGAGGAGGTGATGACTTTGTGACTCTGTTGAGTTTGAGGTATAAAATATCTAAGTGGGGATGTTCAGTAGTCAACTGGATGCAAGTTTTGGGACTCTAGAAAGGAGGTGGATTAAATATAAACATTTGGGATTAATCAGACTATAGTTGGGTGGATTCTGATTGTACAGATGAGTGTGTAGACTGAGAAGAGAGGAGGGCAGAAGACAGAATTCTGAAAAATTCTAATACTGAAGCCATAGCTAGAGAATCAGAAAGATGCCATGAACAAGTGGGTATAGAGACAGGAAGCAAAGGCAAGAAAAAAGCAATATCAAAGCCATCAACAGAAGGAAGTTTCTGAAAGAGAAAGAAGTCAGTGGTGTCCCATGCCATAGAAAAGTCAAGAATGGAAATTTACTCCCCAGGCTTACATGAAGAGAATAATCTCACCATAAATCGCCTAGCAAATCAGTAATCTAAGGTTCCTGGCATGTATTTATTGCTATAATCAGATAACCATATTCTTTTTCTGTACGTTGTAGGCTTTTTATTGTTGTTTATTAAAAATAGTCCCATAAGCAAATCTATGATTATTTCAAAATAAAAAGCTTTAAAAAACAGTCTCAGCCAGTTTGGCTCAGCAGTTAGAGCATCGGCCTGCGGACCAGAGAGTCCCGGGTTCATTCCCACTAAGGGCACGCACCTTGGTTGCAGTTTGTCCCCGCCCTGGTTGGGGTCGTGTGGGTGGTAACCACTCGATGTGTCTCTCTCACATCAATGTTTCTCTCTCTCTCTTCCCCTGCTCTATCTGAAGAAAGAAAAAAAAAAAAGTCTCATAATATGATGCTTTTAAAGAGATGTGAAAATGTTTACATTTTTTCAGTAAGCCTCACATGACCTAAAGCAGGGCTCAGAAACGTAAATATTCACAGGAGCCAGGCAAATAAAATGAATGGGTAAAGATATTCGAGTAGGAACAACAGAAAAAAAGCCTGAAGAACACATCCTTTCTAAAAAGAGCAGCCACAGCCAATTCCCACTACATGAATACATGGGCGTTGTTCCATGACAGAGAGGTCCCGGTTGGATTCCTGGTCAGAGCACATGTTTGGGTTGCCGGCTGGATCTCCAGTAGCAGGCATGCAGGAGGCAGCTGATTTATGTTTCTCTGTCATCAATGTTTCTATCTCCCTCTCCCTTCCTCTCTCTCTAAAAAAATCAATAAAAACATATTTTAAAAATAAATAAATAAATAAGTAAAAGTAGCCAATTGGTTTAAATGTTTTTTAAAATGCTTTACAAACTAGCCCTGGCCGGTGTGGCTCAGCGGTTGGAGCGTTGGCCTGCAGTTTGGAGAGAATCTGGTTCGGTTCCCCTAAGGGCACGTACCTCGGTTGCAGTTTTTCCCCCGGCCCTGGTTAGGTCGTGTGGGTGGCAACCACTCAATGTGTCCCTTTCACGTCAATGTTTCTCTCTCTCTCCCCCCCTCCCACTCTATCTGAACAAAATATTGAAAAAATGTCCTCGGGTGAGGATAAAAAATTAAAATGCTTTGCAAATTTAACATTTCAATAGGTCCCAGGTGGCTCACGGACTATGAGTTTCTTACCTTTGCCTTAAAGTATGCATAATACAGCATTTTAATCTTACACCTTGAGGGAAATTAAGTGGCTAATGATAAAGGCTCATATGCAGTAAGAGAGCCAGATCTAGAATCCAGTTCTTATTTTAAAACTAGTATTTTCTTTGCTGTGATTCTATAATTTCTTTATCTAACAAATGAAATATACACCCAGGTTAGTCAGACATGCAAGTTAACAATCACAATATGCTGTAGTAATTTCAGGAAAGATGGCATAAGCTTCACATTTAATTAATCCAGATGCTCTGGTTCTTCTGACATGTTTTTAGGTAGACACTCCAGAAAATAAATTACTGATGATTAATCAATTGTTTATGCTTCACAAATTCTGCTTTAAATGTATAGAACACAATTGTAAGCGATCTTTAAGCAAAATTATAATTATCGCAGGGCTGATAGAAAACTGGACGTCAATTTTGAGCCTTTATTTAGTTGTAATAGAGACTATACCTATCCATTCATTCAACATATACTGTGAATTTACAAATTCCTGTTAAGTAATGACAGAATGCAAGCTAACAGAAGGGTGAGGATACACATTTAAATTATTTCAATGAATGAAGCATGGAGGTAAGTGTTACTGCAGTGCAGGAGAATGAAGCTAGTGTAGCTAATTATCTGATATTAACAGCCCTCTGAAGGAGGTATTATCACACTGATTTTGCCAGAACCAGGTAAGTCTGCCAGAGAGCCAGAGGGGACATATTCTGACTTCAGGTCCACAGTTGAGATTCTGTGAAATGAAAAGGAATCGTTCTTCTATATTTCTCCTCTAAGAAGTTAAAGTACTCCTTTGTAAACCAACTATCCCCTGCAGTCATAACAAACGTTAGTTATATCCTCATACCCCTTAGTTAAGCCACCTCAACTCAATTACAGACGTGTCATGTTGTATTTTCCTTTGGGGAGTTGCAAACTAATTTGATCTTAAAAGATATCTCCCGTGCAAGGAGAAGCAACTTTCGCCGGTGAGGATCAACTGAATCAATTCGGCGCCTAGGTCGTCGGAATCCAGCCACGTTTGCAAAAGGTCGAATCCGAACTCACTAGCCTTGACAACGCAGTTTAATTGTCACAGCAAAACCTCAAGGTGTCGGCCCCGCTAGAACTTTTGCCTAGGATCGGGCGCAGGCGATAGGAAACTAGACAGAAGGCCCACGTTTTCTGAGTGAAATATTATTTATAGCCAGGGTCTGAAGAAGCCAAAGCCAACAGCAGCTGAGCTGCAGCGCGGTGCTACCGCCATGCAAGCAGGCCTCACACCGCTCACCTTCACAGTCGGCCCCCGGCCGCCCCCCGGCCTCCTGGCCCTGCGCCGGCACCAGGTTAGAGACCCAAAGCCCGGCGCAGAGGACCACCATTGCGGCTGGGCTCGCGCACCACATGCTGAGCGAGCAGCTCCAAACGCCTCGGCCACTTGCCCCCACCGTCAGCTGCGACGCTACGGCGGGAAGCTGCTTCAGGACGCCGGAGAGCGGAGCTAGCCCGGAGCAGCTAGAACAAATGACGCAACTCCCTCAACCCTGAGTTCCCACTGGCTCTCACCAAAGGGACCAAGAGCCGGGCGGAGCAAAGGAGCCCTTTCCTCCCCCGTCACCCCCGACTGGCGCGTGCGCACTACAGCACACGCTGTGCCGCTTCGGCAGGGCAGAAAAAGACGCACTCAAGCTATTCGTTGACTGTATGTGCGAGAGGCGGGACCTTCACGCTGATTGGCGACAACGCGGGAGGCCGCGGCGTTTGGACCGGACGCAATGGGCGGGCGGGAACGTGAATTCTACGTGGTGCCTGATGGGGCTGTTGGGAGCCCGAGACCTGTAGCTAGAGGGGGACCACTCTTTACTGCAGCCACCGTCTCCGCCGCCTCATGGCGGCCATCGGAGTTCACCTGGGCTCCACGTCAGCCTGTGTGGCCGTCTACAAGGTGAGGGAGTGGGGGGCTGGGCTACGGGCCCAGTGTCAGCCACTCCGTTCTCGGAGTGCGTGCTCAGGTCCACTGGTCACCTACGGCGTTGTGAACGGCAATGTCATCGGCCTAGGAGCGTCGCACGGGGAGGCATTACTGCTGGGAAGTTTCGAGGCGAAGGGTCGGCCTCACCCCCAGCGACTCCGGAAAGCCAGATGCGCCCTGGCGGAGGGTCGTGACGACTCCGGCGCGCGAGGTCCAGGGACGTCAGGGCCGCAGGAGGCCCGGAGAGTCTCTTGGACGTCGTGGGCGTGGGAGGCCCGGGGGTGGGGGCGATCCTGGGGACGCCAGGGCTGCTGGAAACCCGGGGGAGGGGCTCGGGGATGTCGTGGGCGCGGGAGAGCAAGGAGATTGGGGCGGTCTTGGGGACGTCAGGGCATCAGGAAGCTCGGAAGGTCGGGATATAGTGGCCGCAGGAGGCCTGGAGGTTTCTGGACGTTTGCCGGGAAAGGGCGGGGTGGCCGCGATCTGGAACTGGAGCTGTTTATCCTGTGCAGCGTGTGAAGTGAGTTGGTGGTGCGTGGTCTACTGACTTGGCCTTTTGGGGAGTGAAGAGACCTTGACAAGGAGTTGTGGCCTTCCTCTCGTCAGTGGGGAGGCGGAAGGAACAATAATACCGAACTCCCCTGACACTAGTCTCGCGTTTAAATGTCAAAAAATGGTTTGTAAGGGAAAGCTGAAGGGTTAATGCCACTTCATCATATGTAGAGAAGGGAAGAAAGATGTAGGAGAAGGAAGAGAAGTAGAAAGGGTGGTGAAATAAAACTTATTATTGTCTATAGAAAGGTTATTATATTTGTTCCAATTATTGACTCTTCAGAGAAGACTGAAAAAAATGAGGCAGTTCTTTATTGAAATTGGTTTTACATAAAATTTAGGAAATTAATAGTGGCAATTAAATCTACAGGTTTAAAATATTGATAGAGCAATTTTTCTTTCCACATGTATGACAAAGTAACACTGGCCGTCATATGTCTGAATATGTTAATGTCTGAAGATGTCAAAAGAACTAATAGAGTTGTGTATTTTTCTCCAGGATGGCCGGGCTGATGTGGTTGCAAATGATGCAGGTGACAGAGTTACTCCAGCTGTTGTTGCTTACTCAGAGAATGAAGAGGTACTATTCCCCCTCATTTTTGCACTTTGGAATAAGTAAAAATTACATCCATTGTAATATATTGCTCTTTTTTAGGTTGTTGGATTGGCAGCAAAACACAGTAGAATAAGAAATATTTCAAATACAGTAATGAAAGTAAAGCAGATCCTTGGCAGAAGGTATGGAATAAAATATTACTTTTACATATGGTGATAAAAATGTGTTTATACATTTTAAGCATAATATAGAGCAAAACTAGAAACACCGTTTGTTTTTTTCTCATTGTTTTCTATGACTAACTTATTTCAGAGAGTACCCCAGTAGCCTGTTGCTTTTGATGATTAGTGTCAAGTCTTCTCAAAGATGAGATTCACTTAGACAGTTGTTTGTTGCTGACAGGTCTATTTGTATTGATAAATGCCAACATTTCTTTTGTTTGATAGTTTGTGTCATTCACAGGTGGTAATTTGGATTTTTTATATTTTATAATTTTTTTAAGTGAGGGAACTTGAAAAATTTTGTGGGAATTTGATAACTTCTTGGCACTGTAGTTGATTTTTGCAAATCTATTGCATTTGATTATAATTTATGTAGACGCTATCAGTTTTCTTTTTCAGGTCCTTTTATGACACTTTCTGGGAACTAACTTTTCCAGGGGCTTAACAAATTTAATCAGTAGAGAAACAACTTAATTAACGTCTTATGTAAGAATCAGGTTAATCATCTCTTGTAACTTTAATTAAAAGATTAAAGAGGCTTGCTTCCTCAGACTCATGTCTCCTCTAATTATAGATTACCATAATAATTAGGGGGTTTCATTTTCACTGGAGTGGTAATACTTGATATAGTGTTTTTAAGTTTTCAAAGTGCTTTCACATCTATTATTTTATTTAATCCTCTCAAATCCCTGTAAGATTGGTAATGCAGGTTTTATCCCTCCCCATTTATAGATGAGAAAATCAAGGCACGTAGAAGTTATGGTATTCCTAAATTAGTTAGGTAGGTGAACTAGACAGGACTGTAGTTCAGGACTTCTAACCCTTAGTCCAGGTTGTTTCCTTTCTTTGTTGTTTGGTTGAGAATTTAAACAGAAATTTTCTTATTTTTGATTTATTTTTTATACATATAGATATGTTTTATTATACTTTACCTGTGTGTAGTTAAACTGAACTTGAATTTATTTTTTTTCCTTAGGATATCTATGCACTAAGCCAAAACCTATAGTATTTTAGAGAATTCAAATTTCTGTGGTGGTGATGATGATGATAAATTAGTTGGTATCAAAGATGTTCAAATTATAAATTTTGAAAAAAATCAGGGAGTTATAGGTGGATGTTGAAGCTAGATTCACTCAGCAACCAACAATGTGTATTTTTTAATTGAACTTTTTATTTTGAGTAATTGTACATTCTGTTGTAAGAAGTAATACACAAAGATGCTCTATATTACTGGATTTACCACTCTCTCCCAATGATACGTCTTTCCAGATTATAATATCAAAACCAGATACTGACATTGATACAGTCAAAATATAGAACATGTCCACAGAACTATCCCCTGGTACCCCTATTTTATGCTGCTGTTTTGGGGCAGACAGTTGGAGTAATGATGCAGTTGTCTTCCGCTATATTATGCAAAAGGCTTCGTATTAACAAGAATAACTTAAGCTTACTTTTCTGGCCCTGAAAGTTATCTTTTAACGAAGGAATGCAATGGTGACAATCAGATGGGTAATGCATAGCCACAGCATGCTGCTTAGGGCAAGGATAGTGAAGGATGAGCGCCCTTCAAACAAACTGCTACACCATGATCCTGCTAGCTGCCTTGTGCTCCAGGTATTTTCCACCTCCGCCTCTCTACTTACAAGACAATGGTGATTTTTACAGACACACAGTTGTACCAGGTTTCAGCCTTGGAAGCATTCTGGCCTTTGTGGAGGAACTAGTCCCCTTGTTATCAAGCCAGTAAGGCCATTTTTAGCCCCAGATGCAGTGTCCATCCTGGATGAACTCCCAAAGTTGGGCTTTCTCAGTCTTGGCATACTGCCTGCTTGTGACCTACTTACAGGTAGCACTGCTTAACTTGCTGCCACAATTATCCTTACACCTGCCCTGTAACTCTCATTCCCCTGTGGCCTTCCAGCCAGAAATTTGGTCCTTGGACCTGGCTTCTCAGCAATTGTCCCTGAGAGGGAAGAATCCGTTGGCTCCTGGAAATAGACTGAAAGCACCCAGAGCTTCCCCACACCTTCAGATTTGCACCTTGCTGCCCAGGAGCTTTCTTCAGCTAGCCTTCCTTCCCAGTCCACTATGGCCAGTTCCAATAGCAGTGCGGGCATCCGGTGGTCCAGACAGGAGACTCGAACTCTTCTCTCCATACTAGGCGAGGCAGAGTACATTCAACGCCTCCAGACTGTGCACCATAATGCAGATGTCTATCAGGCTGTGTCTAAGCGAATGCAGCAGGAAGGCTTCCGCCGCACCGAACGTCAGTGCCGCTCCAAGTTTAAAGTTCTGAAGGCATTATATTTAAAGGCATATGTTGCCCATGCCACAAGTATGGGTGACCCACCACACTGTCCATTTTATGAGACGTTGGATCAGCTTCTCCGAAATCAGGTAGTGACTGACCCAGACAACTTAATGGAGGATGCTGCTTGGGCCAAGCACTATGATCAGAACTTAGTGGCCTCTGACACCCCAGGAGAAGAGGGAACCAGCATTCTGAGAGCAAAAAGGACTCAGGCAGCAGATCATCAGCCTATCTCGAAAACAGTTAAGGATTCAGATGAGGATTGTCAACTGAGAATCAATGACCAGATGCGAGAAACAAGTGACCTTGAGGACTCCTGGGATGAATCCTCAGGTGCAGGTAATTTCCAAACATGTGAAGGATTGGGTCCCAGAGTTACTTGGTTCTAAACAGCAGTATATGGTTGGATGGTGTTTTTTTTCCAGCATTGTCCCTGGTTCTGCCCCTTGCCCTTTTCTTTTAAAACCTAAATATAAGGGACTCTAAGTGTTTAAAAGCTATTACCCTAGGTATATAAGGTATTAGAACTCTTTAAACATAGAAGTACTCTTTAGAACCAAACTATTTTGGCATTATTTATAATGCGTACTTAGGCATTTGTGGATATAGAGTGGGTTGGAGAGCTAAGTGGAAATGGGCTCAGGAAGGCAAGGGATTTGGAGGTAAGATTACTACAGGCTATAAAATGTCCAGACCAAGGAAATGAATTCTGCCCAGTCCCTTGTGGAAAGAGGCCTTTCCAGGAATGACCACAGTTTTGTAATTGTTTCTCAACTCTGCTGCTGGCTCCATGCATTCCCTTAGCAGGAATGTCCTCTCTGCAACATTGTTGCTTTGTTTTTCAGGGTGCTCTCAAGGGACCCCCAGCTACAGCAGTTCCCACCACCTTTTCAGAGGTGCAGTTGCTCCCTGTCAGAGCAGCCCCATGACCAGACTGGGTGTTTCCGGTGAGCCCAGTCCCTGCACCAGCACCAGCCGAAACACTCCTGGTGTGGCCTCCACACAGCAGCCTCCAATCTCTTCCGGAGTTCCTTTTTCTGGTGGGGATAGGCCTTTGACCAGTGAGCCCCCTCCAAGGTGGGCAAGACGAAGAAGGCGGTCAGTGGCCAGGACTATTGCAGCTGAATTGGCAGAAAACAGGAGATTGGCACGAGAACTTTCAAAGCGTGAGGAAGAAAAATTGGACAGGCTGATTGCTATTGGTGAGGAGGCCAGTGCTCAGCAAGACACGGCCAACGAGCTCCGCAGGGATGCCGTGATCGCAGTCAGACGCTTGGCAACAGCAGTGGAAGAAGCAACTGGTGCTTTTCAGCTAGGGCTTGAAAAATTGCTTCAGAGGTTAATTTCAAATACCAAAAGTTAGGAACTGATTATAAAAACTGGTGGAAGCCCAGATCCAACACTTGCCTTTTGGTACCCTGGCTCCTTTTCTTTGTTCTCAGAAAAAGGAGTGGATGAGCCATTAAGTATGCAGAGGAGTAGGAATATACAGGCTAGTTGCTTTTTCGAAACTTCTCCACTAATTGAAAGACTTCGAAAATGTGAGAGGTAGCCTAATGGAAAACGACAAAGCCAGGTCCAGAAAGCTAATTATCCTTCGCGTTGTCTGCTATGAGGCAATTTAGTTTACCTCTCCACACCAGTTTACTCATCAGTAAAATGGGAACTAGGTAACGATTCCGGATCTGCCTACCTCACAGGGATGTTGTGAGGATCAAATGGCTAATAGATGTGAAAGGGTTTAAGGGTTTAAAAGCACTATACACATGTAAGTTATTAATGTATATGACTTGGGCTGAGGTAAGGCAAGGGTGAGGCACATTAGTTGACAAGATATAGAATTATAGTTGTATACCATGATGACCTCATTGCTTGAATATTTGTTTAACTTGACTGCTTTCTGAAGTTTCAAGTCTTCTCTCTTTTTTTTAATCCCTCTGTAGCTCAAGACTATAGACACAACATGTATTTGTACCTTTCTCTCATTTTTACTGCTGTGTCTCTGACATACCTACTAGTAAGCACTCAATAGTGAACCCATTTTTCCCTCCATTTTAATAGTTCTTAGTCTCTATAGGATATAATTCAGAACTGACAGAAAGCCACAATCGTGTTATGGTTCATATTGATAATCTGATATAATGAGATATTGGCTGTTTTATAAAATATTAAATGTAAGTAAATTCTTTGCATTCCATGTATGTGGATCCCCATGCATAATTATATATCTTTAAGTTTGGGTTGCTATTTGAACATCTTGGAAAGAATTTGAATTATATCAGTTTCCTAGGTGCTTTTAGCTAATGTCATTCTTTTCTGTTAGCCTTGTGTCTGTCTCATGTGTTACAGAAGACAAGCCCTAGAAAACGTCTAGGGTTATTTTCCAAAGTCACTTTTTCTCACTTGGTATAGATGAAAGATCACCTAGTTAGTGGCATGTGGTGGAAGAGAACAGTTTGGGAACAGTTAAGGGTGGTGTGAATAAGGACCACCTGCATAGATAACTCCTATTAGGCACAAGCTCTCAACAGATATTTTGTTTTCCCAAAAAGACACACCCTTTGGGATGTAGAAAGGTTGAGCCATATTTCCAATTTTAAATGTTTTTCTTCAATCTAGAGGCTGAAAAAGATATCTGGGCATGTTGGAAGAGGTTTTATATTCTGCAGGCTTGGGTGCTTAATGCAGGGAATACAAATAGATGAAGAAACAGTCAAAACAACAGTGGGAACATACCTGGAACCATGAATAGATGGCAAGCAAGTGAACTGCTCTGCTGAGTGTGTAATGGATGTAGGAGGCAGCTGGTGTGGTAGCATACACTGGAATGTAGTTAGAACTCCTGGGTTCTAATGTAACAATTACATTGGCAAATCATTTGAATTGTTTTAGGCCATTATATGGAGGGATATGTGTCAGTTATAACTAGGTAACACTAATGTAGGTAGGTAGACTTTTTGGAAAAACAGGGAAGTACTTGGTGAAGAATTAGGCCTTTACTATGTTAATCTATTAATGGTAGCAAAATACATAGGCAAGGATTTATTTGAGATAAGGGAAGTGCTAAAGTATAGAAGTGAAGTTAAACTTTGGAGGTAGTATTGTGAAAAGCTAATGGGTGAAGTAACCTTAATGTGAGAAATAAAACTAAAGGGAAAGATCTAAAAGAAGTGAACAGAAATAGGCAAAATATAAAGAGGAGGAAAGTTTTAATAAGGGGACGTTGTATGAAAGAAAACAAGCCCCGAAATCCTGCCTAAGCTGTAGGCCCAACCATGACTACCTGTTCATCCTTAGGTGGATCATTTCACCATTCTGTAACTCAGGATCCTCACCTATAACGTGGGAAACTAATAACTCCTGCCTACCTCACAGGATTGTTGTGAGGGTCAAAGGAACAGATGAATAAAAATGCTTTCACACATGGAAGACACTATACCGTGACAGTGGGAAAGAAGACCCTATAGCACATTAGTGCTGGTGTGTACCAGGTCTGAGGACCTGCTGACACATAAGGAAAGAGGAGGAAGAGAAAATGCCATTGCTGGTAAAGGTTGTGATAAAATGGTAGGATTAATGCTCTGCCTCCTAAAGATGGTGATGTAAATGAGGTGCTGTGTATACCAACCTCCCACCACCCTTTGTTTTTCTGTTACATAATTAATCCTGGTGTGGACAAATAAAGTTTTTACTTGTATGTAGTTGTGGGTCAGTTCGCTGCTTTCTGGCACTATCCATGATCATTTGTCATCACTTGCATTCTCTGCTTTCTGCTTTTCTGCTATAGTCTCCAGGGTCTTGCCTATACATGGCCCCAAGAGCTATGTGTGCTTTCTGTCTTCACATAAGCGAGGTCCTCTTTACATAGCAGTTGAGAAATCATTTTCCATTTTGAAGAGTTCTATAAATTCCATAAAATATCCTTTCCCAGCAAATATCTTGTCTGAGTGGTAGATAGCCTACATATAATGGGATAAATTATATCCCTGGTCGATTTAAATTCTAGTCTAAAAAAAGAACTCTTAAATGTGCACAAATTATAATATTGGTGCAAAAAAATGACTGGACACACTTCATCTTATTTTCTTACTCTTAAAATATTTGTCCAGGATATTGTCTAAATATTGAGTTTTAAACAGGGAAGAAGGGGAGGGTTCAGTGGAAAGAATATTAAACTTTGCATTAAAGATCTGGATTCTGGCCAGTTCTGCCATCAGCCATGTGACTTTGGGCAAGCTACTTTACCTGTTTTCTTCTCTACCAATTTTTAGGTGATAGAGAATCATATATGAGTAATCTGCAAGTATTCAGAGTTCTAAGCTGAATAAGTCTATTTTAAACACCTTTCGTTTCAATTATACAGGTTAGGGTCATCAGATATGCAATGGTCCTTCAGCAATTAGCTACTATTAATTTTTACCTCTTCTCATTAAACATTTAAGACTGGTTTCTAAACAGAATAGCCACAGCCCCTTGGACGAAGGGGCAGGGGTGGGAACCTTTTTTTTGCCAAGGGCCATTTGGATATTTATAATATTCTCAGGCCATACAAAATTAACATCTTTAAAATTAGCCTGCTGTATTTGGTCAGGCTAATTTGGTGAGGCGTGTGATGTTAGCTTGTATTGATTTTGAGGGCCTGTATGGCCTGCGGGCCTACTGTTCTCCGTCCCTGGTAGGAGAAGGATTTAATTCATCTTAATTTCTAGATGAAATTAAACCAAAGGTCGAACACCATTTCTGCTCAAGGGGCAGAAGTACTTTAATCATGTACCATCTTAACTGCCAGGCAGTCAGGTAAAGTGTGAACGAACATACTCTGATAGAGAAGATCTGGGATCAAGTACTCTGCCTCTTACTAGCTTATAAGTCATTGACTCTCTATGAACCTGTTACCTCTAAAATAATAGTTGCTCAATTACCCACTTAGGTACTGTGAAGATCAAGTGAGAGAATACATGTGAAAACACTTTATAGTCTGTATAAATTGATACTACTACTTTGAGCATCATAACACATTAATTTTTTTTTACTGCCGTGCACATTTATTTAGTACCCATTTTATATAGGACATGATAGATCTATCTACCTGTAGTACTGGGCACCTTTCCATATATAAATTTGTACTTTTGCTCACTCTTGATTTTGGGTGTCGATTCACATTCAGACCAAGCACAAGAGATGGTGTTAGGCATGTTGGTTTGCCCTTAGTTTGCAATCTTATCGCCTTTGTTCTTTTTATCTCAGTGGTTGGGTCTTTGGGATTATAGATGTGGAAGTATGTAACAAAATCAGTGATGTTATGAAAAATCACCCCCAAATGTATAGTATCTATTAATAGCAGCAAGATCAGAACAAGAGCTATTTACTTTCAAATGCAAAGATTAACACTTTAATAGAATTACTGTAATCGTTGTAAATATTCATCCATTTCATCCTATTATCTGTAATACCTTAAGTTTTTTTTAATATTAAGCAATTTCATTTTGTTAATATTTTTATATTCGGTGGTATTGAAAAGAAACTGTTCTTTAAATTTTATATATGAACAATACTGATTTTAATACTTAACTATCTTTTATCTTTGTGGACAGCTCCGATGACCCACAGGCTCAGAAATACATCACAGAAAGTAAATGTTTAGTGAGTATGGTTCTGTTATTACTTCCCTGTTACACAAAGTAATTGCTAAGGTGCTAATCTATAATGTTGGTTTGAAATTTTGTATTTTATTAAAGTTATTTCTTATTAAACACACTTATAATTTCCCTTATAGGTTATTGAAAAAAATGGGAAATTACGATATAAAATAGATACTGGAGAAGATACAAAATATATTAACCCAGAAGATGTTGCCAGACTGATATTCAGTAAAATGAAAGGTATTGAGAGAAAAATGTTAAGAGTTGACCTTAAAAAGTTAAGTGTGTTTTTTGACCTGGGGAGAAACAAATGATTGAGCAGATTAGTAGTAAGGAGACCTAAACTCTATCTTACTGAGCCACTAACTGGCCATGTGACCATTGTTAAATGACTGTACCATCCCTGACTTTGGTCTCCCCTACAGGTAATGTAAATAGATTGTGTTGGATTAGCATTTTCAAAACTTCTTAAAATGAAGTGGCCAAATAAATGCGATAAACAGTAAATATCTGCCTCTTTAGGATTGACAGTACACTTTCAAAATATTTAGGCAAATGAAGTTGGTCTGGTTTCATCACTTCAGATGAGGGCTGGAGCTGAGTGGCATTCTTTGGAACAATTTAGGAAATTTTGGAGTAGATTATATTATGAATTTACGAGATGTGAGGCAGCCCTTTAATGTGTTGAACTAATGTTATGCTATTTGTCTTTACATTAATAAAGCTCATTCTCAATGAAACCAATCTAATTTGGAAGATGGTGGAAACTTTGAAGCCTGAGAATCAGGCACATTAGAAAGTACCTACTTCGCCCTGGCCAGTTTGGCTCAGCGGTTAGAGCGTTGACCCGGGTTCGGTTCCCTCTCAGGGCACAGTTCCCTCTCAGAGCACGTACCTCGGTTGCAGTTTGTCCCCGGCCCTGGTTGGGTCCTGCGGATGGCAACCACTCGATGTGTCCCTTTCATGTCGATGTTTCTCTCTCTCTCCCTCTCTCTCCCTCCCACTCTATCTTAACAAAAAAAAAAGGAAAATTGTCCTCGAGTGAGGATAAAAGAAAAAAAAAGTACCTAATTCTATGTCCACAAATTACCAAAACCACATACATGATGTAAGAGAGCAAAAGAAGAAGATCAGCAGGGTGGGATAATCAAATAAACTGGAAAATCTTTATAGTGAGAAGATCTTTGATGCAAATTGATAAACCTCAGAAAGTATCACTTGACATTTTTTTGTCATCGGAATTTATTTTTATATTTTTTTAATATACAGAAACGGCACATTCTGTCTTGGGCTCAGAAGCAAATGATGTAGTTATTACTGTTCCATTTGATTTTGGAGAAAAGCAAAAAAATGCTCTTGGGTAAGTATAATATGGGGTTTATCTTATTTGCTTAAAGGAAAAAAAAATTTCACAATATCACCATGTAGTGAAAAATAAAATTGCATTTGAAAACACTTTGGGCAATAAAATTGTATTTGTAAATACGTGCGTATATAAATAGTATGGCAAAATGTATGTTAATGACCATTAATTTTTCCTATCTTGTATGAAATGGTAAGAGAACATAAAATTAGATACACCTTCTTAGCCATTTTGATTGGAAATGTTCTTAATTACCAGGTTAAGCTGATGTTTATGAATCACTTTGCCTTAGTTTTATGTAATTAGGATTTATGTTGGAATTATATAAAAATATGCAATTTTAGAATATGTTTGCAAGTATTTTTTCACCTTAGATCTTAACATCTAAACAAAAAGTTGCATTTAGTTTCTACAAATCTTTATGCAAATGTAATTGGTGGAATGCATGCCTCTGCTTTTGAGATAGAGTTCCACATGGGGCTTTGGCAAGCATCAGAGTTGCTTCTGGGGCAGAGAATAGCTTTATTTACTTGAATTTGTGTGGGATATTAAAAACATGCTAAAAGAAATCGGAAAATTGCAAAATGTATTACAAATTTGTCTTAATCTCTTTCTAAAGTGTGTAAGCCTGGGCATTTTTGAGAGTTTTCTTTTTCTTGTTCAATATAAGCTCATGTGCTGGGCCAGTGTGGCTCACTGGCTGAGCATTGACTCATGCACCAGGAGGTTGCCTGTTCAATTCCCGGTCAGGGCACATGCCCAGGCTGTGGGCCAGATCCCCAGTGGAGGGCATGCAGGAGGTGGCCAGTCGATGTTCTCTCTCATCAATGTTTCCATCTCTCCCTACTTCTCCCTTTCTCTCTCTCTAAAATCAATAAAGAAAAAAGTTTTTTATAATGTATGGCACATTATTTTTTTAGCTAAGAAAATAGACTTTGAACATTATTATTTTAAATGGAAAATGATTTCTTACAGAGTTACATTCATTTCTTGTGTTCTGTCATCTTGCTTCCAAAGATCATTACCATTCATGTTTTACTTATGAAATCTTACTTGCTATTGCATAAAATCTTTAGCAGAACATTTCTAAAATGTAGACTTTAACATGTTGTGATATTAAATTCACTGAAAGCAAATTGTCCACAGGGAGGCAGCCAGAGCTGCTGGTTTTAATGTTTTGCGGTTAATCCATGAACCATCTGCAGCTCTTCTGGCTTATGGAATTGGACAAGACTCCCCCACTGGAAAAAGGTAAGAATCATATTTTCAGCTTTAGGTTTTTCAGTACAGAAAACATTTTAGATTGTAGCAATTATATCAATAGAGATTACTATAAAATGCAGCAGTTTTAAGTCTGTGTGAATGAAAAGACATCAAAACCCTCAACTAGAGTTTTTCAAATAGGTGAGAAAGTTGTACTAGGAAAGCAGAGAAAGAACATACCAAGAAGGAAGATTGAGCTTATCTGTCCTTCTCTTATCACCCACACTTTGTTCCTATAGTTGAGATGGATTTGAAATTTGTAAGCCCAGCCACATTCCAACTCAAGCTAGGACACTTAATTTTAGTACCAGTTTCAGTTATTAAATGTGTTTATAACTAGTGAGTGAGTAGTTTTATATACATTTGTCCTAACAGGAGATGGCAAGAAATGCTGCATGGGGATTTGAGAATTCTTTTGATTACGAAACAGTAAAACATACTCCTCGTTTAGTTGTCAAACTTGTCTTAATAGGCCTGATATATGCATCTTCAGGGAAATTAATTCAGATGTGTTAATTTTCCTTAATTGTTTTGCCTCATTCAGATTTCACAGTTTGAATAAAGAAATTAATATGTATAAATCACTAGGAAATTATTTTTATGTAAACTAGGTAAATGTAAAATATCAGAAATTATGAATTTTGATACATAGGAAATTAGTTCCTAGTTTTGAGTATGTTTCATTTTTGTAGTACATGTTATTGCAGTAGTCATTTGGATGATTTAATACACAATTTCTATATATAATTATCTTTTAATTCACTGTAATCACAAATCTTTTTTTTATTTGAAAAGTTGGTGTTTTGAACTCCAGTTACTCAGAATGCAATTTTACCAGCACAACTAAATGAAAAATAACTTTGACTTAAAACGAAAAGATTTGGTTTCTAAGCTTAATTCATCACTAAGTGATGACCATGAACAACATTTTTTTTTTTAATCAAATTTATTGGGGTGACACTGGTTAACAAAATTACACAGGTTTTAGGTGCATAATTCTACAACACATCATCTGTACACTGTATTGTGTGTTCACCACCCCTAGTCATGTCTCGGTCCATCCTCATTTATCCCCCTGTGTTGCCTCCCCCTGGCAATCACTGCATGATCACGGACAGGTTAGTTACTCAAGTGAGATTTTTAGTTTCCTTATTTGTGACATAAAGGGATTAAACTAAGTGGCTTCTTAGTGTAAGAAGTCCAGCCTAGCTTTAAAATGTTGTGATTCTCTGCCTGGCCGGTGTGGTTCAGTGGTTGAGCATCAACTCATGCATCAAGAGGTTGCCGGTTCGATTCCCAGTCAGGCCACATGCCCAGCTTGTGGGCCTGATTCCCAGTGGAGGGCATGCAGGAGGCAGCTGATCGATGTTTCCATCTCTCTCTCCCTGTCCCTCTTTCTCTCAGATCAATAAAGAAAAAAAAATGTTTTTAAATGTTGTGATTCTCACATAACTTATTCATATTATCTTTTTTTTAAGCAATATTTTGGTGTTCAAACTTGGGGGAACATCCTTATCTGTCAGTGTCATGGAAGTTAACAGTGGAATATATCGTGTTATTTCAACAAACACTGATGATAACATCGGAGGTACACAATTTACAGAAACCTTAGCACAGCATCTAGCTTCTGAGTTTCAGAGGTGAGTATTAATGGATTTGATGATGTATTTTTATTGAAGTTTTCCTTTCGTTTTTCTCCCTTAATTTATTTGAAATTGCTCTGCTTCAAAGGAGGATGTGTTTTTTCCAATGTGCTGGATAGTTTTGTGTCTAGAGTTAATAATGTCTATCCAGGAAGACGTGGGGGAGCAGAGGCCAAGCTGCCCAGTGCAGTGTGTTTGGATTTTTCACTTAGTTTAAAGGACTACCAGACACTGAACTGTGTGAACTTGGATCTCACGCTCGGTTTCTTAATTCTTCGTGTGCTGCTCTTATGTCAGTGAAGGAGGGTACAGGCACTGAGACCTCATTACCTTCTGAACAGGTTTTAAGTTTAGGGCTGATGAAAATTACATTGTTAAAGTCACATTCCAGGGAACTAATGGAGTGTTTATTTAATTTCTAATCTACTACCACAAGGAATATTTTAGTTTTGTTACTGGGTGTTATTATTCCATTCAGAATTCTAATCTTATTTGGCATATCAAGAGCCAGATATCAAAGGCTATTTTGGACATCACTGCTCTAAAAAAAAATGTAACTGAAACAGTGTTTTCATCAGTTTGGCTAACCTATGTAAAAGTGTCTTGAAAAAGTGGTAATTTCTCATTTGTTAAATAAAGTACTATTTTTTGTTATAAAGGTGTTCCAACTCAAGGTAGAGCATTGTTAATTTTACTCCCAACTCCAGTTATGATACATGTTTAGAAACAGTTATGATACATTGATCACTGCTATCGAGCAGTGTTAATAATTAATTCATCTTTGAGGTAGAGGAACTATAATTTTACATATTTTGTATATGTCAAGTTTCTTGGATGAAGCACTTTTAGTTGTTTTTTGTTTTCTTTTAATGCTGGACAGATCATTTTATATCATTGAACAATGATTATGCTGCAGTTGTAGAGAGAGATGAGACTTGACCCAGTTACATTAATCTCCTTCACTCTCCCTTTGTCTCATCTGCAAACAAAATAACAGCTACTCTGCTTTCTTCAAAGTTCACCCTATAATTAAGGGTACAAAATGCAGCAATTCAGAGTATTAAGGATATTGGTTATGATTGTTGTTGAAGAGATTCTTCTCTTAATTACAGAAATTTTGGAGGATTGGAAGCCAGATAATAAAATCTGGTATTAATATGGCTTCATGAATTTCTCATTATCCTAGTAGGAATTATCCAGGTTTTATTTATAATAAATTCTAAATGACCTAGTAATTTTTAAACTTCAGAGACTATGTTTTTAATTTAGATCCTTCAAACATAACATCAGAGGAAATGCCCGAGCCATGGTGAAGTTGATGAACAGTGCTGATATTGCAAAACATTCTTTGTCAACCTTGGGCAGTGCCAATTGTTTCCTTGACTCGTTATATGAAGGTCAAGATTTTGACTGCAATGTGTCCAGGTAAAATTGAAGTTCAAAAAGCATTTGTAAAAATGTCAAGTGCATTCATGTCTAGGTGTGATTTTCTCACTTTGGGTTTTTTGTTTGTTCATTTGATATTTATTCACCATCTATAAAAGGAGAGCTTTCCTGTCTTTTCTTGTGGGATCTAGTTTTTTTTGTCAGAATAAGTAATTGTTCTCAAAATAATTACGTCAGTAGTGATTGCTTGTTATTTGAAAACATCAGTGTCTGAAAAGGCATCATAGATCTTTTAAGGAAAGATGAGAGGAGATTTAATTTTGAGATTTTCAGACTTCTCACTAAATGGCAGTCCCACCTATATGTCCATACTTTGTTGCTTAAATTTTATGTGGGGCTTGTACATGTTTCAATGGTTATTTACTATAACTTAATGGTTAACACTATGTGGTAGCCTGTATTCTGTCAACTCATTAAATTCTTACAACTCAAAGAAATAAGTGTTATTGTCCTTATTTTATCCCTGAGGAAGATGAAACATAGACAGGTATTATTACTTAACCAAGGCTACACAGCTAGTAAGTGATGGACCTGAGATTCAAACCCAGCCAGCTTGACCCCAAAGTTCATACTCTTTAATTATTATACTATACTGAAAATTTATATTTATCTTGGTTTCGTTTGCTCTGTCATCTATCATCAACATTTTAAAATTTTAATAGCTTTTATGACTTTTAGTAAACAGGTGTAATATGCATAAAATTGTTTTTAATATCCATATCTTTTACATAATCTAAAACATTGGTTACAAGTGATTTTACTTTTACCTAGAAAGTCCAAAGGGAAGATGTCGCCCTATTTTACATTGCAAATTACTAACAATAGTAATAGCTACCAATAGTTAAACTATTTAAACCTCCCCAAAACCTAACAGGTGACTTGGAAACATAGTAAAAACTTACAGAATTACAGCATTATATTATTTTTAGTATTGCACTGACTATATTTGGTTAAATTCTCTCTTCATCTGGCCATTGTAGTTCACCTTCCTCACTCTCCCTGGGCTTTTCTGAAGACTCTGGATCTGCTTGTCCAGTATAATAGCCACTTAACCACCTGCGGCCATTTAAATTTAAATTAATTAGAAACAAATATAAAAATTCCATTTCTCAGTAGCACTAGCCACAGTTCCAGGACTCAACAGTCTCATGAGGCAAGTGCTCACAGAAAATTCTACTAGACACACAGCACTGCTCTAGATCTTTTAAGAGAGATTTCAATCTACAACCCAAAAAATAGAAAGGTGGGCAGAGTGTCTTTGTATTTTTTTCTATATCCAGAATTCCTAACTTAGTGCTAAATTTTTCCAAGTACTCAATTTCTAAGTTTTTCCAACTATATGTTGGCTTATTAATATCAGTTACTGAGAATTAAATAAAATTTTTAATTTTCTGTTAGGAAATTTTGCCTTTATTACTAAGATTGCAACCATAAGGTATATTTTAAGTCTAGAGATAGCACAAACAAATTTAAAAAGTAGTCATCTGCATCTAAGAAGTTCAGTATAAAATTAGGGAGTACATTTTTCCTGAATATAAATTTTTCTTAAAATTATATGCTAGCTGTCCCGGCTGATTTGGCTCAGCGGTTAGAGCATTGGCCCGTGGACCAGAGAGTCCCGGGTTCAGTTCCCGCTAGGAGCCAGTTGCAGTTTGTCCTTGGCTCCGGTTGGGTTTGTGTGGGTGGCAACCACTCGATGTGTCTCTCTCACATTGATGTTTCTCTCTCTCTCTGTTCCTTCCTCTCTCCCTCCCACTCTGAAAATAAATGCAAAAATGTCCTCAGGTGCCCTGGCCGGTTTGGCTCAGCGGTTAGAGCATCTGCCTGCGGTCCGGAGAGACCCGGGTTTGGTTCCCGCTAAGGGCATGTACCTCGGTTGCAGTTTGTCCCCGGCCCTGGTTGGTCGTGCGGGTGGCAGCCACTCGATGTGTCCCTTTCACATCGATGTTTCTCTCTCTCTCTCTTCCTCTCTCTCCCTCCCACTCTGTACAAAAAAAAATGGAAAAAAAAATGTCCTCGGATGAGGACTAAAAAAGATAAAATAAAATAAAAAAAATGTCCTCAGGTGAGGATAAAAAAAAAAGTATATGCTAGCATTTAAGTTTTTCAGAGAGTGCCAAAGAGCTAAATTTAGGTACAATATAGTCTCAGATTATAAAGATACATAGAAATAATTTTTAAAACTTTAAGACATAAAAATAGCAAATACTTCCAAATGATAGTGATTTGGATCAATAGATGTATTGTTGGGACTGCCATACATTGAGTTTTTATTTTCAGGTTATGGAAAACCTATAAGTAGGCCATGGGTAAGAATCTCCAACTTGAATTTGATCTTAAATGTCTTCATACATTTGTAGATGAATAATTTAGATTCCCCCCCCCCCATAATATTGCATTGCTAGATGCTAAATAATCCTGTTTTGATCATAAATCTATTCTTAAGGGAATGGTCACATCAGGTTTGGGCATTACTCTTCATAAAAAAAGATGTCGTATTTAATTGTATAATCCTTTTTCTTTGTTTTGCTCGTGTGTGTGTGTGTGTGTGTACAGAGCAAGATTTGAACTTCTGTGTTCTCCACTTTTTAATAAATGTATAGAAGCAATCAGAGCACTCTTAGAACAAAGTGGATTTACAGCAGATGATATCAACAAGGTAATACTTTTATGTTTTTCTTCTTTATTTTAGGAGTAATTTCACACTTGGAATTTAGGAAATAGTCCCTTAGTACTGAAAGAATATTTTTATGAATTTAAATTTTTTCTTAGCTTGTGTTAGTAAGGAAAATTGACTATATGTTGATTAATAACTCTAGTGATATATATATATGTTTCCTAGCCAAAAAAACCCCACTAATTTCTTTTGAGTATATTTTTTAATATATAAGCAATGATTGACATATTTGAATGTTTGCTATGTGTCAAACAATATTTCTAAGTGCTTTACATGGATTAATTCATTGAATATTCATGAACTCTATAAGGTAGGTGCTACTATTTGTTCCCATTTTATAAGTGAAGGCACCATGTACAAATAAGTAAATAATTTCCTGGCGAGCGTGTGGTTAGTAGTAAAGCCAGGATTTAACTCTGTAGTTCCCGAGTTTGTCCATAACCAGTATACCGTACTGCTCCTCTCTACTGAAATAAGAAAATATTTTGAGACTTTAATTTTTACATTCAAATTTTTAATGTTTTCCTTTTTCCCAAAAAAATATTTATACTCATTTAAAATGTATGTAGCCCTGGCCAGTTTCTCAGTGGTTAGAGCGTCGGCCTGCGTTCCAGAAAGACCCGGTTCGGTTCCCACTAAGGGAACGTACCTCGGTTGCAGTTTGTCCCCAGCCCTGGTTGGATTGTGTGGGTGGCGGCCACTCGATGTGTCCCTTTCACATGGATGTTTCTCTCTCTCTCTCTCTCCACCCCTCCCACTCTATCTGAACAAAAAATGGGAAAGTGTACTCGGGTGAGGATAAAAAAAAAAGAGTATGTAAACATTTTTATTTTTGTTATTAAAATAGTATTTATAAGAAAATTTAGAAAATACCAAAAGGCAACTAATGTTATTTTAGAATTTTTCTAATTTAATTTGTATGTATAATTCTGAATTTTATTTTCTTCAATTAATATTATAATCAATTTGTTTCCCCATATTTCTGTAGTCTTTAATCAACTCAGTTTTGTGGTTGACAATCCTCACCTGAGAGTATTTTTTCATTGTTTTTTAGATAGAGTGGGAGGGAGGCGCGGAGAGAAAGCGCTCAAGAGAGACATCAATTGGTTGCTTTCTGCATGACCTTGACCTGGGCAGGGATCAATTCTGTAACCCAGGTACGTACCCTTGACCTGGACCTGGAATCAAACTGTGACCTTTTGGTTCGAGGGCTGATGCTCTAACCACTAAGCCAATGCTCTAACTGCTGAACCAAACTGGCCAGGGCATCAACTCAATTTTAAATAGATTCGATAGATGATTTCATTACTCTGTTTTGGATACCTGAATTGGGTTTCCCCTTCTGTCAGAACAGTGATGCCCACCTTTGGACCTCAGCTTTTATCATATTTAGGATTATTCCTGAGGATAGATTCCCATGTAAAATTTTTGTGTCAAAGAGTTTAAATAGCTTGAGACTATTTTTACTTTCAGTTACTTTTTTATGTTGAATTAACTAACACTCCTATCAGTATTATCTAAGAATATACATTTGACCTTGCTGGCTCTGAGTTTTATCTTCTAAAGAAAATTTTTCATTGAATAGTTGGAAAAAAGATAGGTTTTTACTTGATAGTTCATTGATTATTAAAGGATTATTTTTAATGTTTAATTTTGTATTTTCTTGTGTGTAAATGTTTATTTTATATTATTTGCCTATTTTATTATTTAACTTATAATTTTAACATTTATTTGTGCAGGTGCTTTATATAATCAGAATACTAACTGTTATTTGCTGCAGTCGTCTTTTGAGGCATGTAATTTACTGTTTAATTTTGGTCCCATTAAAAAGGGTATTTGACATATAGAAGTTTCATTTATTTATCTATTTAAATGTATTGGTCTATTACTGTGATTTCTTCAGCTGCTTCTAAGTTTATAAATTTTATCTTTGTTCAGATGTACAACAAATATTTAATATTTTCTTTTAATTTGAAAGTTTTTTATTTTAACTGTTTTGGTGTGTGCTATATGATGAAAGTGATTTTTAAATTTATTTTTGCAATTCAGTAAGTTTTTTTTTTTTTTTAACATTTATAATATGTCGGGCATCATGCTAGGTGTTTTGAGGTTGGGGCTGGATTAAGAAGAAAAATACTTGAGTATATAATGGTAGCAAGGTGGTGGTAGGAACTGAATGAACTTGGAGACAGACCTACCTGAATCAGAAGGCTCACAGTGTTAATAGTTCCAGAATGGGCAATTACTTATTTCCTGAGTCTTACTTGTTCTTTTTATTAGGAGGGAAATAACACTTACAAATAAATATTACAACTTATTCTACAGGATTGTTATGAGGACTAAATGAAATAGTGTGTGTGGCATGTTATAGGTGATCAATTAATGTCCCCAACCACTATGCGGCAAACCAGCTTTCTCTTTGGTTATCTCAAACACCATCTGCCTTCAGGCGATTGCCACTGTCCTTTCCAGCTTGCAAAATGTGTTAAAATTTCAAACTCAAGATCTCTCTTCCATTTGTATCTTCTTAAATCCATTTACTGTCAGTTTAGTGGATTTATGGAAGGGCACATAGATAAATTGATATACTCAATCCCTCCATTTTAACCAAGCTCCCAGGCTCTACAACTGTAATTTTAATAATGCATAGTATTTCATTGCATTGATGTACCATAATTTATAAAACTAATTATTGATGTTTGTTATGTAGGTTATTTTGGTTTTATAAACAGCAGTCTTTGTGGCTTTGTGAACATCCTTGATTTCCTGAGAATTAAATTTGGGAGTTAATTCCCAAATTTTAAGATTTAGTATGTATTAACAAATTGTTCACCATAAAACAACAACAACAAAAAACCAGTTTACTTTCTGAGTAGGTGTAAACCTTCATTATTAACACTGAAATTTTTAAAAATTCTCTTTATTCATACTTTTTTTTTCCAGAAAGCTTTAGAATTATTCTTCAAGTTCTTACATAAAAATCTCTAGGAATGAGCAAATCAGTTCTTTATAGGGACAGAAGTATTGGTAGTGTTTATATGTAATATAATGTCATCAGAAAGACAGCATTTGAATCATCATACCTGATGCACTGATGCTGGGGTTATTTCTACTGATGACCGGTTTCTTTTCCACACGTAGAAAAATACACATATACCTCAAGCAGTACACCACAATTAAGCTGGCTAGCAGCTATGTAGGACAGCTGGTTCACTCTACCGGTCCATTCTTCAAAAGAGAAGTATGTTCCCTACTACTTTTCTTGCAACACAGATTCCTCTTGATCTTTATTTCATTCTTCTTCTAGATTGAGAGATGGGTTTAGAGAATTTTAAAAGTTCCACATTGAACTTGCTGTAAGAAAAGCAAGAGCACAAGTGTGATTATAAATGGCAAATGCCCTCTAGCTGGTATGAGGGCCACAACAGGTCATGGTGGACCTGCCACCTTACAGTCAGGAGCTGTCCTAGTCCAAACGGGGCAGCTGCTGCACACCTGCCAGTTACTACCTTTCAGAGATGCACTCTAGTGCTTTTGGGACCTTTGACTTATTAAGAGACTCTCAAATAGGGATGGTTAATAAAATTTTTTATTTAAATGTTAGTAATTAATACAGAACTTTAAAAACTTTGCAGAGGTAAAACAGATCTTGCCTGATATAATTGGCAAGTTGCTACTTTGTAACCTCTGGTCTAGAGGGTTTTATTTTTTTGTTGTGTTTTTAGTTTTGTTCCTGGGCTATAGGTGCTTCTAAAATGAATTAAATACCTTTTCATCTTTTTAGGTATTCCAGATTAGTACATAATACATGCATATTCTCTGTTCCTAAAGAATTTACCTATAGCCCTGGCCGGTTTGGCTCAGCAGTTGGAGTGTCGGCCTGCGGACCAGAGTACCGGATTCAGTTCCCACTAGGGGCACCTACCAAAAAAAAAAAAAAAAAGAATTTACCTATAAACAGATTTTATCTGAAACTAATTTCTGAAGTGTTTTTATAATTTTCCTAAGTTTTCTTTATTGCTTCGGTTTTGATTTTGAGTACTTGATAGACCTATTACATAATGATTTCTTCAATATTTAGCATACAACTTTGCGTAATGATCTTATAACTTTTTTTTTAATCCTCACCTGAGGACATTTTTCCTTTTTTTTTTTTATTAAGATAGAGTGGGAGGGAGAGAAAGAGAGAGAAACATCGATGTGAAAGGGACACATCGAATGGTTGCCACCCGCACAACCCAACCAGGGCCGGGTACAAACTGCAACTGAGGTACATGCCCTTAGCGGGAACCAAACATGGGTCTCTCTGGACCACAGGCCAATACTCTAACCGCTGAGCCAAACCGGCCAGGGCTGGTCTTATAATTTTTAATATTATGTATCTTTTGATACTAAAATGTAAAAGTATAAAGAAGTTGTTTAAATTTAAATGGGCCAGTTTCTCCCCCCTTTTCTTTTTTAGTTTTTCTGTTTTTTTCCTTCCCTAGGATTGACAGCTAATTGTTTTATTATTTGCTCCAACTTCTGCCACTACCACTCCCAAAAAACTTTCTTAGATTTTTTTTTTGTTTCAAGTTGTGTTTTTTCTCTTTTCTAATTGGCTATGTTCTGCTTTTCTTTGTATTTTTTTCAGCCTTTCCAGGACACTTTGATTATTCTTCTAAAATCTTATATTGAATGCTAACTCATTTATTTTTTTTCCCCTAATAAAAAATTAACTACAGTGTTACTTATGAATAGCTTTGGTTTTATTCCACAAGCTTTGATAGATTTTATTTTCTGAATAATCTGTAATATTTTTTATTTTTATTGTTTAGATTCATGTTTTTAAATACCCAAGTTGTTAAGATGGTTTGATTTTTTTAAATAGTGGTTCATTTTATTAAAGTACTGTGAAAATTGTAGTTGAAAAGCCCTTAAAATCGTTATTTATGTTTGAGATATGTATTTTCTATTAAAATGTAAGTTTTCAAAAAAAATCTTATAATTACAGAGTAGATGCTTAAAGAGTTTATTTAAAACTTGCTGGTCATTATCAGCATTAATAGTAACACATTATTTGTACATTTTTACCATTTTATTTTATTTTATTTTTATTTTTTTATTATTTTTATTTTTCAATCCTCACCCAAGGATACTTTTTTCCATGTTTATATTTCGATAGAGTGGGAGGGAGGGAGAGAGAGAAAAGAGCGAAACATCGACATGAGAGAGACACATCAATTGGTTGTCTCCCACAGGACCCTGGTCCATGGGCAGATGCTCTACCACTGAGCCAAACTGGCCAGGGCTTTTTTTACCCTTTTATTTATTTTTTTATTGATTTTAGAGAGAGAGAGAAACATTGATGAGAGAGAACATCGATTGGCCGCCTCCTGCATGCCCCCCACTGGGGATCATGCCCACAACCTGGGCATGTGCCCTGACTGGGAATCGAACTGGCGACCTCTTAGTGCATGCGTCGACGCTCAACCACTGAGTCACACTGGCCGGGCCTTTTTTTACCCTTTTAAATGAAAATACTAAAAGCTAAGATTTCAGAGTTTTTGTGGGTTTTTTGTATAGTACCACTTATTGCTTATTAATAAAGCTTTTTTATGTCAATTATGAAAAATTTTAAGACATATTCTACATTTTTATACTCAAGGTATATTATGTGTTGGATCGCAAGCTTTTAGAGAGGACTTTTTCTTACCAAACTTCAAAACAGACCTTTTCGGGAACTTTGCCAAGGCAAAAATGCTTTTCTTTTTTTTCTTTGAATCCCTCAGCTCCTGTTCCTCATACCCTGACCTGAGATCAATATGATATCCCTTGTCATTTCACACCTAATCCTTGTCATTTCACACCTAATGTTAAAGAGGCTTAGTTTTCATCATTTGATCCTCTTTTCCAACTGATTATTGGTTTTCCTTCTTGGGCTACCTATTTATTCACTGTCAAGAATACCTATGGAGCCCTGGCCAGTTTGGCTCGGCGGTTAGAGCATCGGCCCGCAGTCCAGAGAGACCTGGGTTCAGTTCCTGCTAAGGGCACGTACCTCGGTTGCAGTTTGTCCCCAGCCCTGGTTGGGTCGTGTGGGTAGCAGCCACTCGATGTGTCCCTTTCACATCGATGTTTCTTTCTTCCTCTCTCTCCCTCCCACTCTATCTGAACAAAAAATGGAAAATGTCCTCGGGTGAGGATAAAAAAAAAAGAATGCCTATGGAGTTATAATTGTCAAATATATGAATTAATGGGGAAATTAAAGTATTTTTAAAGAGCAATTTTATTTTATTCAGCTTAATTGAGGTATAAGTGACAAATAAAATTATAAGGTATTTAAAATGTGCATGAGATTTAATATATATATACGTTGTGAAAGGATTCCTATCATCCAGTTAATTAACATATCTATCCTTTCCATGTATTTACCTTTGGGAAAGTTGAAAAGTTCTCTTCTCTTAGCAAATCTCAATTGTACAATACAGTCTTGTCAACTATAGTCATCATGTTACACATTAGATCCTCAGATCTCATTCATCTTATAACTGAAAGTTTATACACTTTTACCAACCTCTTCCTATACTTCCATTCCCTAGCCCCAGTCACTGTTCTACTATCTGTGCCTATGAGTTTGACTTTTTTTTTTTTTTAGATTTCACATATAAATGATACCATGCAGTATTTGTCTTTCTCTGTCTGACTTATGTCACATAATACTGCATTGTGTATATATATATACCAAATTTTCTTTTTTTTTAATCCTCACCCGAGGATATTTTTTCATTTATCTTCAGATGGGGGGGGGGCACATCGATTGATTGCCTCTTCAGATGGGGGTGGCACATCGATTGATTACCTCGACCAGGGCCAGGGACCAAACCGCAACCAAGGTACATGCCCTTGACTGGAATTGAACCCATGACTCTTTTGGTTCACAGGCCAATCAGTGCACAAACCGCTGAGCCAAACCGGCCAGGGTTATACCAGATTTTCTTAATCCATTCACCCATCAACAGACACTTAGGATATTTTCATACTGAATAATGCTGCAGTAAACATGAGAGTAAAACACCTCTTTGAGATAGTGATTTTGTTTCCTTTGGCTATATATCCAGAAGTGGGATTGCTGGATCATATGGTAATTCTGTTTTTAAATTATTGAGGAATTTTCATCCTTTTTTTAGTGACTGTACTTGTTTACATTTTTAGTAATGTACAAGGGTACCCTTTTCTCTATTAACATTAATTATCTCATCTGTTTTTTTTTAATCTTCACTCGATATTTTTTCATTTACCTTCAGATAGAGTAAGAGGGAGAGAGAGAGACAGAGAGAAACATTAACTTGAAAGAGAAACATTGGTTGCTTCCCACACGACCCCGACCAGGGCCAGGGATAAACCGAAACAGAGGTACATGCCCTTGGCCAGAATCGAACCCAGGTCTCATTGGTTTGTGAGCTGACACACTAACCACTGAGCCAAACCAGCCAGGGCATTATCTCATCTTTTTTAATTAACAGGCATCCTAACAGGTACGAAGTTTTAATTTGCATCTGCTTGATGATTAGTGATATTGAACACCTTTTCATGTACTTGCTGGCCACTTGTATGTGTTCTGAAAATCTTTATTCAGACCTTTTGCCCATTTTAAAATTTTTCTTGGGAGGGGTTTACTCTTGAGTTTATGTTTCTTGTATATTTTGGATATTAACCCTTTTTCAGATATGTGGTTTGCAAATATTTTCTCCCATTACACAGGTGGCTTTTTCATTTTGTTATGATTTCCTTTGCTGTGCAGAAAGCTTTGTAGTTTGATGTACTCCTACTTATTGATTTTTGCTTTGGGTGTGAAATCCAAAAAGTCATTGCCAAGACTGATGTCAAAGAGCTTACCCCTGTGTTTTCTCCTAGGAGTTTTATGGTGTCTTACATTCAAGTCTTTAATCCATTTTAGCCTGTTTTGTGTTTGTGTAAGATAGTGATACAGTTTCATTCTTTTGCATGTGGTTGTCCAGTTTTCCCAGCATAATTTGTTATTCCTGGCTCCTTTGTTGATGATGGACCATATATACATGCGTTTATTTCTTGGCACTCTATTTCTGTTGCATTGATCTGTCTGTCTATGTTTATGCCAATACCATGCTGTTTTGATTACTATAGCTTATAATATTAGTTTGAAATCAGGAAGTGTGATGCCTCCAGCTTTGTTCTTTTTCAAGATTGCTTAGGCTATTTGGGGTCTTTTGTGGTTCCATATGCATTTTCGGGTTGTATTTTCTATCCCTGTGAATAATGACCATTGGAATTTTGATAGAGATTGCATTGAATCTGTAGATCACTTTGGGTAATGTGGACATTTTAACAGTATAAATTCTTCTAATCCATAAACATGGACTATCTTTCCATTTATCTGTGTCTTAATTTTTTACCATTGTCTTCTAGTTTTTAGTATATAGATCTTTCACCTTCTTAGTTAAATTTATTTCTAAGTATTTTATTCTTTTAGATGCTATTGTAAATGGGATTGTATTCTTAATTTCTCTTTCCCTTAATTCATTGTTAATGTATAGAAATAATTTAAAGTAATTTTTAATAGGTATAAACTTACTGTTGCCATTTTGTTCATTGTTTTCTGCCTGTTTTTTAGTTTCTTTTTTTCTTTCTTGCCCTCTTCTTTTGTGATTTGATGATTTTTTCTGTAGTGATGTGTTTTGATTTCTTTATCTTTTGGTATCTACACAGGTTTTTGGTTTGTGGTTACCATGAACTTACTGATCTTTTCTTTTGCTTGATCTAGTGTATTGTTGAACCCCTCTGTTGAATTTTTCAATTCAAATATTATCTTCAGCTCTATGATTTCTATTTGGTGTTCCTTTATATTTTCTATCTCATTGCTGAAATTCTCACTTTGTTCATGCATTACTCTCCTGACTTCAGTGGACATCTTTATTACTGTTATTTTGAACTCTATCAAGTAAATCACTTATCTTTGTTTCATTAAGATCCATTTCTAGAGATATATCTTGTTATTTTGTTTGGAACATATTCTCCTATATCTTTATTTTTCTTGATTCTCTGTGTTGATTTTTATGCATTACAGAGAACTGCCATCTTTTCCAGTCTTGACGCACTGGTCTTGTGTAGAACCCTTGTGTTTGTCTAAGCTGCTGTTTGTTCTCACTGGCTCTTGATAGTTGAGGGTGTGTCAAGACCATCCCAAAGATGGGGATTGCAGTCAGCACCTTGGTGCAGCTAGATTAGAAGCCAGGCCCTCAGGCAGCAGCTGTGAAAGTGCTGTCAAACCCCTTCCAGGGTAAACTGGGAGGTGAGTCTTTTTGCCTGCTCCCTCTGAGGCTGAACCAGGTGTATAGCCTTGGGGTATGAGATGCTCCTTCCCTGATTTAAAGTGTTTCTTCGTTTGCTGCAGTCCTGTGGGACTTGTGAATGCAAGCCTATTGGCTATCAGAGCCAGGTGATTTAGGGGACAAGCTTATAGAGGAGCAATTCTATATGAAGTTTTTCAGAGACAATGATATAGATTTTTGCATTATTTTATGTTATACTGTTTATATGGTAAGTATAACATAAAATAATGCTAAAATATGGTTTCTTATATTTTACCATTACATGTGATAAAGATGGGTCAGCCTCTAACACTTAATTTTGAGGAAAACAAACAGTGTTCTATAAGTAAAAAACTGAGAATTATTTTTATTTTTTAGGTTGTCCTTTGTGGAGGGTCTTCTCGAATTCCAAGGCTACAGCAACTGATTAAAGATCTTTTCCCAGCTGTTGAACTTCTAAATTCTATCCCTCCCGATGAAGTTATCCCTATTGGTGCAGCTATAGAAGCAGGAATTCTTATTGGGAAGGAAAACCTTTTAGTGGAAGACTCTCTTAAGATAGAGTGTTCAGCCAAAGATATTTTAGTTAAGGTACGTTTAGCTTTTCTTTTCTTTCTTCTTTTAATCCTCACCTGAGAATATTTTTCTATTCATCTTCAGATAGAGTGGGAGAAAAAGGGAGAAAGAGAGAAACATCGATGTGAGAGGGACACATTGACTGGTTGCCTCCCATACGACCCCGGCCAGGGCCGGGGACAAACCACAACTAAGGTACGTGCCCTTGACCAGGAATCGAACCTGTGACTCATTGGTCCTGGGGCCAACACTCTAACCTCTGAACCAAACCGGCCAGGGCTAGCTTTTCTTTTCCGTAAAAGTGGTATAAATTTGATGCCATATGTTTTCATGAACACCATGTTTTTACAATAAAACTGTGTATACTGGTAAAAATTTTAAATTTATATTTATAGTTTTACTTTTAATGAGTTTTATATATTCTTTTTTTAAATTGATTTTAGAGAGGGAGAGAGAGAGTGAGAAACATCACTGTGAGAGAGATACATCAATCAGTTGCCTCGTACACACCCCAACGGGGGATCAAACTTGAAACCTAAGTATGTGCCCTGACTGGGAATAGAACCTGCAGCCCTTCAATGAATGGGACAACACTCCAATCAACTGAGCCACACTGGCCAGGGCTGTATTTTCTTTAAGTTGGTATTTATCTAACAAATTAATTTTTTAACTAATTTTAATAATAAATTTCTAATTTTAAAGTGGGTTGGGATTAAGGATCATTATTATTCTCTTGTCTATCTGTAATTTGCAACAATTATCAGCAAGGATTATTATACTTTTTATAATTGTAGCAATACATATCTCAACAGATACGCATATTATTTTCCTACTTATTAGGGAGTTGATGAATCAGGAGCCAACAGTTTCACAGTACTGTTTCCATCAGGGACACCTTTGCCAGCTCGAAGACAACACACATTACAAGCCCCGGGAAGTATATCTTCAGTATGCCTTGAACTCTATGAGTCTGAGGGGAAAAGCTCTGCAAAAGAGGAAAACAAGTTTGCACAGGTGAATACATAAATTGGATTATGAATTAGTCACATGAAACTGTTTAGGTTTTCTTTCTGGATTAGACTCAGTTTAGTATCAGTTAATAAAAAATGTGTATAAAACATTTAATACATTTTTATAAATGGATTACTTCTACTTATTTGTTTCTGTAAGAAAGAAGAAATGGGAAATTTTTATTTGAAAGAGTTACAGGAGAATAAAAAAAAAAAATACAGTTTGTATTTATTCTTTTTCTCTTTGAGTTCTTGACCCTCCTTGGTGATAAGGTATGTGGCAGGGAAAATGACATTTTTTGTTTGCTGAATGCCAGGTGCTATAGTAGGCACTTTACAAATGTACTCTCAAAATGCTGTGAGATAGACATTGTTATGTGCATTTTTTTTTTTTTAAGTCCTCTCCTGAGGACATTTTTTCTTTTATTGTCAGAGTGGGAGGGAGGAAGGGAGAGAGACAGAGAAACATCGATGCGAAAGAGACACATCGACTGGTTGTCTCCTGCATGACCCCTACCAGGGCTGGGGGCCAAACTGCAACCGAGGTACGTGCCCTTGACCAGAATCAAACCTGTGACTCTTTGGTCCACAGGCCTACACTCTGCTGAGCCAAACTGGCCAGGGCCTTTGTACCAGATTTCTAACCTCGGGTGGCAGTCTTGGTATTCCCTTAGCTTCTCTGTCATACATTACTACCTTTGCTCTTGACATACTACTCTGAGAGTCTGCAGCTACTATCACTAGTATATCCTATGTGGCAGATATATTTATCTTCTATATAGCCTATATACAGATGCCAGAAGTGAAGAGTTAGTCACATACACTGAATTTGGAGAGAGAATCTTTTAGAGAACCCATCTGTTCTAACCTACTCCTTTTATAAATGAGTAAAGCAAGATACTTAGTGCCTTGCCTTAGGTCAGAAGATTTAATAATGTCAAAATCCGAAAAGTTACTTCCAAACTTGATGTGTTAGTCTACCTTTCTTTAGGAAACAGAGGAATTTTATAGTAAATTCACTAGTATCTCTAACTTACAAATGTAATCTTAGTTGTACAAAAGAATTTGCCACAGGTTTCTTTTAAATAGGTTTTCTGAGTATATTAAAAACATTTGAATTTTTAAAAGTATTTAGAGAAGGCTCACCAAAATATAATTTATATGTTCTGGTATGACTTATTTACCACAAAGAAAAGCCGTCTTTATTTTCTGAGACAAACAATACTTCATAGAAACAATCATTTTAATCTAGGATGTTTAAGAGGGACAAACATACTAGTTATCTTCTGTGCCCTCCTAGAGGAAACATTTCATTTCATGGTTAAGAAAGCTGAGTTTTTATAACTGGTAGGAGAATTGAACACTGCCCTATTTTTAAAGTTTTGTTTCAATAATAAGTAAGGATTTAGTCCACTGAATTAATCGATGTGTCTGTTTATTATTATGTCAAAGTACTGAATCATCTCTGTGTTATTTTTGCATAAACAGGTTATACTCCAGGATTTAAATAAAAAAGAAAATGGACTACATGACATATTAGCTGTTCTTACTATGAAAAGGTACAAAATTAAACTACTTCTGATGTTAAGAAAATTCACTTTGAGACTTGAACGTTTTTGTTAGTTTATTGATTCTTTACCCATTGTCATTCTGGGAAAATCAGTTAGTAAAAACTTATATTTTATTAGTGATTTACATTTTTTGTCCTGTAGAATTACTATATTTTACAAAGAAAAGTACATCTCAGGTCATTTCCATTCAAAAATTTTTTTTGGTAGGTGCCCTTAGCGGGAACCCAACCTGGGACTCTGGTCCACAGGCCAACGCTCCAATTGCTGAGCCAAACTGGCCAGGGCTGCATTCTAAATTTTTTATGAACTATTTTTTTTTCTTCTTCTTGTTTTTTTCTTTTTTTATGTTCATTGTTGAATATATTACAGATGGTCCTCATTTTTCCCCCATTGACCCCCCCCCTCCTTCCCACACCCACCCTCCTCCTGCCTTTTTCCACACTGCTGTCTGTGTCCATTGGTTATGCATATAAGTTCTTTGGTTTATTTCTTCCCACCACCTAATCCCCTTCTTTTTGAGGTTTGTCAGTCTAGCAACCAATTTGTTCTTCTTAATCCCTTCACCTTTGTTACCCATTCCCCCAAGCCCCCTTCCATCTGGCACCCAACATAATGTTCTCTTTATCTATGAGAATGTTTCTGTTCTGCATGTTCATTTTGTTTGTAGATTCCATTGTCGATAGATATGTATTCATTGCCATTTTGTTTGTTCATTTATATATTTTTTTTCAAAAAGATGCTTTATCATTTCATATAATTTATAACGGTTTGATGGTGATGAACTCCTTTAACTTTTTTGTCTGGGAAACTCTTTATATGGCCATTGATTCTAAATGACAGCTTTGCAGAATAGAGTAATCTTGGGTGTAGGTTCTTGCTTTTCATCACTCTGAATATTTCTTGCCACTCCCTTCTGGCCTGCAAAGTTTCTTTAGAGAAATCAGCTGACAATCTTATGGGGAACGCCCTTGTAGGTAACTAACTGCTTTTCTCTTGCTGCTTTTAAGATTCTGTCTTTGTCTTGAACCTTTTGCATTTTGATGATGATGTGTCTTGGTGTGGGCCTCTTGGGGTTCATCTTGTTTGGGGACTCTCTGTGCTTCCTGGACTTATATGTCTGTTTCCTTCACCAAGTTAGGGAATTTTTCTGCCATTATTGTTTCAAATAGGTTTTCGATTTCTTGTTCTCTCTCTTCTCCTTCTGGCACCCCCAAGATGCGAATGTTGGCACGCTTGAAGTTGTCCCAGAGGCTCTTTACACTATCCTCATTTTTTTGGATTCTTTTTTCTATTTGCTGTTCTGATTGGGTGTTTTTTGCTTCCTTGTATTCCAAATCGATGGTTTGCTTCTTGGCTTTACGTACTCTACTATTGAATCTGTGTAAATTATTCTTTATTTCAGTTAGTCCTCCTTCGTTTCTTACTGTACATCTGTCATTTCTGACTGGTCCTTCTTAATGCTCTTGAGGCCCTCACTAAGTTCACTGAGCGTCCTTATAAGCAGTATTTTGAACTCAGCATTTGTTAGGTTGCTTATCTCCATTTTGCTTAGTTCTTTTCCTGGAGTTTTATTCTGTTCTTTCATTTGGGACCTGTTTCTTTGTCTCCTCATTTTGGCTGCCTCTCTGGGTTTGTTTCTGTGTATTACTTAACGAGTAGTATGGGGCTATCTGAGACCAGATGCTGCTTGTTTGAAAGAATTTAGGAAAAACCTGAAGCAGGATCCAAGACAGGCCAATCCTATGGTTAAGCAACTGGCAACAGCTTGGGTGAGCCTGAAAGTTGGGTGGGGCGGGGCCTCAGGGAATCACCAGGGCCGGGCAACCAGTGTGAGCCAGGTTGCTGGAGTCCCAGATATGGCAGCTGTCTGCTGCCCCCGGGAAGGGCTCACCAAAGGAACAAAGGTCTCTGACAGCACTTTTGTCCCGGAGAAAGCCCCCTTACCAGCCCTAGCTCCAATGCCAAACAGCTCAGTTCTTCCCTGTATAGCTCTGGCACCCCTCGAGCTGCCTCCCCTCCAAGCTTAGAGGGAGCGAGTCTGATACGTCTGTGCGTGGGCCCTTTAAAAGGAGCTGCCTGGGCTCCAGCCGCCTCAGCCTCCCTGAGCCTCAGTTCCTGCTGGTTTTTCCAGCCAGAAGTTATGGGGACTTCTCTTCCTGGCACTGGAACCCTGAGCGGGGTGCCTGTTATGGGGCAAGGACCCCTCAGTCCTCAGGGAGGACCTTCCCAGCCAAGGTGTCCTCCTGATTTTTATCCGCCACACGTGGGTGTGGGACCAGCCCCTCCACCTCTGCCCCTCCTACCAGTCTTGTGACTGCTGCTTTAATTCCATAGTTGTAGGACTTCCATTCAGCTCAATTTCAGGCAGTTTTGAATAATGGTTGTTCTGTAGTTTAGTTGTAACTTTGATGTGGTTGTGGGACGATAACGATACCGCGTTTACCTACCTGCCATCTTGACCGGAAGTCTTTATGAACTCTTTAATTATTTTGGGTATAGTCAACCAAAAAACTGGTTTATGCAAGTTGGGATATATAATCTTCATTCATTTTTAAATATAATTTTCTAAGGTTTACATAATTTATATTATCCTGAAAGGATAATTTTATTTCAATATTGCTACAGAAAATCTCTAGGAAATAAATTACTAATTAAATCCATTTATTACCACTTCCCTAACAACAATTCATCCATAAAACTATGTCTTGCAAGTAAATCATTTTGAAATTAACATTCGGGACAATTAATTTTATAAACTATACTTAGCAAGAATATTGAATTTATTAGGGTACATTTGTCTTGACCTGGACTTGAAAACGGCACGATGCATCTTGAGCTTGAATAAAGTCTTGAACTTAAGATCTTTATCATTGTGGGTTTTCAGGGAATATAGCTTGGGTCTCAGTGGTCTAGGAGGAATTTTTTTGGAGGATTGGGGGTGATTGAGAGTATGTTGTGATAGTGAATCAAGAAAGGGCTTAGCATAGAAGAAGCAACAGGAGAGCCTAGGGTGGGCTGCATTGACTCACTGGGAAGTCAGAGAAAGGGGTCCTTGGAGACAGGTTCAGGGGATTAGTCTAAGACGAGCTGTCACTGCCCACTGCTCCCCTGGTTGCAAGAAGTCTCATGGGGTCCCTTAGAGTTTAGGAGGTACACACCTGTGGGGGAAGGAAAGGGAGAAGGGAAAGGTGTAGGTGAGCTCCTTCCAAAGGAAAGCATGCTAGGAGAAAATTTTTAACTACCTAATTATAGCAAAAGATACTACATTTAAAGACACTAAACTTGTTTATTTTAATACTCTTCTTTCAAAAATTAAAGTTATCTCATTTATGCAAAGTCCTCAAGTAATTTCTTAAGGATTTTCTATTTGTATAAAATGAGCTTATGAAGTATTATCTTTTTTGTTCATTTAGGGATGGATCTTTACATGTGACATGCACAGATCAAGAGACTGGAAAATGTGAAGCAATCACTATTGAGGTGGCATCGTAGCATTTTAGAAAAACCATGAATTTTTTTAGAACTAAAATATCAACATTATTTGGTTTTGTTTATAAGTGATGTTTATATTAAAATACTTTTGGATGAACTGTGTAATCTGTTTGTATTAAACTATAATATATTGATAAATGTTGCAACCTTTTTTGTTTTCCATTTAAGATAAATCAGTAGTGGGAAATATAAGAAACTTTTTCTATCATGAAACTAGTTAGAGTTACATTGAGCGAATGGAAAGACATTTTACTGGGAATTTAACATTGTGTTCTTAAAATTATTTTGTTTCTATAACTTCTGATTTCAGGAAGTCTTCTATTTTTTATTGTTATTTTTTTAAATATGTTTTTATTGATTTTTTAGAGAGAAGAAGAGAGATAGAAACATTGATGTGAGAAACACTAATAGGCTGCCTCTTGCATGCCCCCTACTGGGGATTGAGCCTGCAACCCGGGCATGTGCCTTGACCAGGAATTGAACTTGGACCTCTCAGTCCATGGGATGACGCTCAGTCCACTGGCCGGGTTATTATTATTATTTTTATTTTTATTTTATTTTTTTTATCCTCACCCGAGGATCTTTTTCCATTTTTTGTACAGATAGAGTGGGAGGGAGAGAGAGTGAGAAACATCGACGTGAAGGAACACATCGAGTGGCTGCCACCCGCACGACCAACCAGGGCCGGGGACAAACTGCAACCGAAGTACGTGCCCTTAGCGGGAACCGAACCCGGGTCTCTCCGGACCGCAGGCCGACGCTCTAACGGCTGAGCCAAACTGGCCAGGGCTATTATTTTTAATCTTCCCCCATGGATATGTTTTTATTTATATTGAGAGAGAGAGAAAGATCGATGTAAGAGAGAAACATCACTCGATGCCTCTCACATGTGCCCAATCGGGATCAAACCCGAAACCTGGGTAATGTGTCCTGACTGGAAAGCAAACCAGCAACCTTTTTGTGTATGAGACAATGCTCCAACCGAGCCACCCAGCCAGGACAAGAAATCTTCTATTCTTATTAGATGATTAAGAGAACAATTGAAAAGCCTTTGGTATTAAGTGAAAAAAAAATTTTTAGAACCATATGCAAAGTAGGATACCATTTTTGCTTAAAAGAAAAACTCAAATTCATCAATGGTGTATAGAAAAATGTCTAAAAGGCCAAACAGTAAACTCTTTTTCTCCTTATTGATTTCAGAGAGAGAAGAAGGGAGAGGGAGAGAGAAAGAGAAACGTCGATGACAGAACATCTATTGGGTGCCTCCTGCATGCCCTCCACTGGGGATCGGGCCCACAACCTGGGCATGTGCCCCAACGGGGAATCGAACCAGCAACCTCTTGGTGCATGGGTCGATGCTCAACCACAGAGCCACAGCGGCTGGGCAGTAAACCCTTTTTTAAAGGGAAATGTAGGGGAGGTGCTTTTACTTTTTTTTTTTTTTTTGGTACATGCCCCTAGCGGGACCTGAACCCAGGACTCTCTTGCCCACAGGCTGACACTCCAACCGCTGAGCCAAACCGGCCAGGGCATACTTTTTCTTTTTATAATTTTATTTAGTTTGATTTTTCCTCTTACAGGCAATCATGGTTTTCTTTTGAAATAAAAAGATTTTTTCATTTTGAAGAGAAGGCTAGCCACACTCTATTTATCAGAAAACATTTACTAGAGCATTGAGATCCTCAGTGAGTTACTAATGAAAAAGCTTATTCTCTGAATAAAACAACACAAGTAATCTGCTATTATTGAAGGGAAAGGTGCAAGATGAGTAGCACATATCAGACTCTAGATCTTATTACAAAGGATTTTCCATTTATTTCTCTCTTTGGTTCCCAGCAGACTTGAAAAGAAGAAGTATCTTTACTTAGTGGTAAAATTAAAAAACTGCTGTTTGTTTGTTTTTTTACCAGTGCAAACTTTGTGGATGTGCTTTATTATTATAGTTAGTTTTCATGGAGATAAGGTGGCAGTAATCTTCTATTTCTAAAGATACAGAAACCAAAAGTAAAATTTTTTATGATTATTCTGTATCAAATTATTGACAGAAGCACAAAGAGAATTCAGATATGATTCTAAGTTCACAAAGAAGCAGCCTTTTGATGAGGCTGACTACTTAGTTATATCTTAGGATTTTTTCCAAAGTTATAAAGACTTTTAAATAAAATAAACATATGTATAAGTCATTGTTTTCAGAAAATACCAACTCAGATAGTTGAACTACTAAGTCTAAATGCTTTGGGAAAGTGTGTTAAGATTTTACTTCAAAGTTATTGTCAGCTCTTAACTAGATCAGGGGTTGGCAAATCATGGCTAATGTGTCAGTTCCACCCCACACCTAGTTTTGTAAACAAAATTTTATTAGAACAAAGCCACACTGAATTGTATATGTATTGTGTGTGGCTATTTTCACACTGTAATGGCAGAGTGAGTAGTTGCAACAGAGACTGTGGACCACAAGCCTTAAAGTACTTACTGTCTAGACCTTTACAAGAAGTTTGTCACCCCCTGAAGTAGATTATTGAAACTTGTAGAATAAAATATCATAAGGGTTTATTCAAGAATTTCTTCCATATCCATGTAGTAATTTACTTATTTGACTGCTTCCTCCATTAGATTATTAAGCACTGTGAGAGCAGAGACTCTCAGTCTTAGTGACCACTGTGTCCCAGCACCCAGAATGATACCAGAACATAGGTGTTCAGTAAATATCTGTCAAGTCAGTAAATTACACGGAAGAAGAAGAAAAAAATGACAGTGTCATCTTTGTGTCCTATGGGAAAATGGCCAGTAAGTACATCTTTTGCATAATTTATAGTTTGTTTAGAAACACAGAAAGGAAAGAAATACCACTGCTTCTGACTTTATTGGTCAGATTTATATGATTTTTTTTTCCCTAAACATATCAAATTTGAAATTGTCATCAAAAGTGCTCTATTGACCCAGCCGATGTGGCTCAGTGATGGAGTATCGACCCATGCATCAAGAGGTCACAGGTTCGATTCCTGGTCAGGGCACATGCACAGGCTGTGGGCCCGATCCCCAGTGTGGAGCATGCAGGAGGCGGCCAGTCGATGTTCTCTCTTATCGATGTTTCTATCTCTCTCTCCCTCTCCCTTCCATTCTCTCTAAAATCAATGAAGAGCCCTGGCTGGTTTGGCTCAGCGGTTAGAACATCAGCCTGCGGTTCAGAGACCCGGGTTTGGTTCCCGCTAAGGGCACGTACTTTGATTGCAGTTTGTCCCCATCCCCAGATGGGTCGTGCAGGTGGCAACCACTCAGTGTGTCCCTTTCATGTCGATGTTTCTCTCTCTCTTCCTCTCTTTCCCTCCCACTCTATCTGAACAAAAAATGGAAAAATGTCCTCGGGTGAGGATAGTATAATAATAATAATAATAATAATAATAATAAGAAGAAGAAGAAGAAGAAGAAGAAGAAGAAGAAGAAGAAGAAGAAGAAGAAGAAGGAAAGAAAGAAAATCAATAAAGAAAAAAAATTTTTTTTAAAAAAGTGTTCTATTGGCCCAGCTGCAGTGTATTTAGCATCATCATATGGACAGGGGTCCTGGTTCGATTCCTGGTCAGGGCACATACCCTGGTTGCAGGCTTGATCCCCAGTAGGGAACATGCAGGAGGTAGCTGATGAATGTGTTCTCACATCAATGTTTTTATCTCCCCCTTCCTCTCTCTTTAAAAAAAATCAATAGCCCTGGCCAGTTTGGCTCAGCGGTTAGAGCGTCCGCCTGCGGTCCGGTCCGGAGAGACCCGGGTTCGGTTCCCGCTAAGGGCACGTACTTCGGTTGCAGTTGGTCCCCGACCCTGGTTGGTCGTGCGGGTGGCAGCCACTTGATGTGTCCCTTCACGTCGATGTTTCTCACTCTCTCTCCCTTCCTCTCTATCCCTCCCATTCTATCTGTACAAAAAATGGAAAAATATCCTCGGGTGAGGATTAAAAAAAAAAAAAAAAATCAATAAAAATATATTTTTTTAAAATGCTCTATTGCTGCCCTGGCCTGTGTGGCTCAGTTGGAGCATCGCTTCACGCCGAAAGGTGGCAAGTTCAATCCCCAGTCAGGGCACAAAAGGAGGCAATCAGTGTTTCTCTCTCCCTCTCTCTAAAATCAATAAAAAATATATATATAAAAGCATTTTTAAGTTGCTCTATTTATTGCCTAATGAAATACACTCTCAAATTTTCTTGTATCCTCAAATGACAAGTTTCTTTGTTTTGAATTTGTGTAAGATTTAATTTTCGAGTGTTTTTTTTTTCCAAGGTGAAAATAGCTTTAACAGTCTTCTCATTACATGTTAATTATAAAAGTAAAACTAAAAGAAGAAAATATAGCCCTGGTTGGTGTGACTCAGTTGGTTGGGCATGGTTGCATGCACCAAAAAGTTGCTGGTTCAATTCCCAGTTTGGGCACATGCCCAGGTTTCAGGTTTGATTCCCAGTAGGATGCATGCAGGAGGCAGCTGATGGATATTTTGCTTTCACATCAATGTTTCTCTCTAAAAATCAATAAAAAATATATTTTTTTAAAAATATAAAACATCCTATATTGTACCACCCAGGGTAACAATTGTTAAGATCTTTTGGGTGGACATCTTGATAATCTTTTCATGCACATCCAGTTTAAATGTGTGTGTGTGTGTGTGTGTGTATATTATATATAATTAATATAATATAATATAATATATATATAAAACTTGACATTATTACCAGCAAAAGGTTTTGTCAAGTTGCAGTTATGATTTTGCCTATTTACATGTCTGACATTGTTTAAAGAACAGGCCAAATATAAAAATATAAATGCCTATATCATACTTTGGAAGGCCACAAAATATGTCATCACAAAGGTTTTATATGTATAAGAGTTTTTAAAGATTCTCTGAGCACAAAAGTTCTATGGGAAAGTGTCAGGATTTCTAAAATAACAGTGAGTGACCATGTAATATAACAATTCTATTGTTTATTTGCTTTCATTATCTTATTTTTTTATTGTGATCTCCCCATAATTCCATGAGTAGTTGCAGTATATAGAGAGTACTATATATTGTGTTATTGCTGTGTTCTAGATGTGGAAATAGATTCAGAGAAATTAAATAATTTATCCAAGGTCTCAAAGTAAATAATAGTGAATTTTGAATTAATATTCAGATTTTTTAAACTTAACTTTTTTCTTGATTGCTTACTATTATAAGCATGTTATGTTCATTATTTCTATTAAATTCACATTTCCAGTGTCCATCCTAGTATTCTTTTCTTCCTCTCAAACATTTATTAAATGGAAGAGGAGACACTTCATGAACCTCATGTTTTCAGTGATCTTTATGAAAAAAAATTATGGGGTAGAGGTATACCTTATTTTTCCCCTGAGGACACTGTATATGTATCTCGATGGCTTTTAATTTCCCTCTCCACTTATAGCCAGAGTTTACCAAGATCCTCATATCGTTTCATATCAGGACTTCTTTACACTCTTAAAAATTACTGAGAATGGAAAGAACATTGTTTATATTGGTGATAAATACATTATTTTACCATATAGAAGTTAAAACCAAGAGCCCTGGCTGGTTTGGCTCAGCAGTTAGAGCGTCAACCCACGGACCAAAGGATCAAGGGTTTGATTCCTGATCAAGGGCATGTACCTGGATTGCAGGTTTGATCCTGGGCCCCAGCTGGTATGGTGCAGGAGACAACCACTCGATGTTTCTCTCTCTCTCCCTCCACCCACCTCCCTCTCTCTCTTCTACTCCCTCTAAAAATCAATGAAAAAAATATCTTTGGGTGAGGATTAAAAAAACAAAAGATCCCTGGCCAGTTTGGCTCAGCAGTTGGAGTGAGACTCGGGTTCAGTTCTCGCTAGGGGCACATACCTCGGTTGCAGTTTGTCCCAGGCCCCACTTGGGGTTGTGCGGGAGGCAGCCACTCGATGTATCCCTTTCACATCGATGTTTCTCTCTCTCTCTCACTTCCTCTCTCTCCCTACCACTCTGTCTGAACAAAAATGGAAAAGTGTCCTTGGGTGAGGGGAAAAAAGACTTAAAATAACTATTCAGTTTCAAATAAAACATTTTTATGAAAAATAACTTTTTAAAGCAAAAAAGGTGTGGTATTGTTTTATACGTTGTCAAATCTCTAGTATCTGGCTTACAAAGATAGTTCTATTCTGGTGTCTGCTTCTTTCTGTTTGCAATATCCAAGTTGTGTACCTCTGAAAAACTTGACTGTATACTCATGAGAAGAGAGTAAAAAAGGCAGATAACATCTTGGTATTATTATGAAAATAGTTTTGAACCTCTGAAGGGTTTCGCGTCCCTGCATCCTACTTTGAGAGTTGCAGCTGTAGATAGTAGACACAACGATGCATGTTGAAGGGACAAAGCCTAATCTATACCCTGGGATTAATGGGATTCAGTGCTAGAAAAATGAAGGAAACAGTTGATTTACAAAAAAGTTTAATGCATTCATTCTGTAAATTTTACTGAAACTGACGATGTCCCACCCAAAAAACAGACAAGATGACTGCAGATTTTGATAAGTGCATTTAAAGGAGCAAATAAGCCCTGGCCGGTTTGGTTCAGCGGTTAGAGCATCGGCCTGCGGTCCTGAGAGACCCGGGTTCGGTTCCCGCTAAGGGCACGTACCTCGGTTGCAGTTTGTCCCCGGCCCTGGTCAGTTGTGTGGGTGGCAGCCACTCGATGTGTTCTTTTCACATCGATGTTTCTCTCTCTCTCTGTTCCTCTCTCTCCCTCCCACTCTACCTGAACAAAAAAGTGGAAAAATGTCCTCGGGTGAGGATAAAAAAATAATAATAATTAAAAAATAATAAAGGAGCAAATAAGAGAGAATGGAACATAGGAAGTACCCCATTTTAGACAGGCTGACTAGGAGAAGCATCTGAAAAAGTGACCTTTAAGCTGAGACCCAAGCGATAAGGAGGTAGCCACGTGAAGAGTGTGAGGAGCATGTCCTCTGAACTGGGAAGTAATTTAGAGTTGCCTTAAGTTATTTCTTGTTTATTTATCTGTTCCTCCCAGGTCTCTTTCTTTCATATCCACTGTTATATTCCTAGCACCTCATACACTGGCTAGCACATAGGAGATGCACAGTACCTGCTTTCTGAATGACTGAAAAATAGTCCTAGAGGACAATGAGCAAAGGGGAGAAGGGGAGAGAGTGGCACAACGGGAGGTTAGGGAGGCAGGGTTCCAATCACAGAAGGCCATGTAGACCATCTGAAGGTTTAGGTTTTATTCTAGATCCATTGGGAAATATTTAAAACAGGAAAAGGAAATGTTCCACTTTATGTTTTAAGGTCACTTTTGTGGCTGCATGGAAAGTGGATTGGAGGGTAGCATAGTGGAAGTGAAACCAGGTAGGCTTTTACAGGACTCCAGTTGAGAAATGAGGGGCTGTACTACTAAGGTAATAGCAGTATCAATGGGGAAAAGGGGCAGAATCAAGGTATATTTTGGACATACCATTGACACAACTTGCTAATGGAATTAATTTGGAGAAGGAGGAGAGGGTGAATCAAGATGACACCCAGATTTCTTTCTTAAACACCTAAGTAGATGGTGGTGCCTGCCAGTGTATTGAGAAAGTTTGTGGGGAGGACCAGGTCTGAAGGCAAAAATTGAGGCTACTTTTACAGGTATGTTCAATATGAGGTGTTTGTGCAACACCTCAGCGGATATGTCAGCTAGGTGCTGTGGACATTCAAGTCTAGAATTCAGGACAGAGATTAGGACTGGAGACAATTGGGTACAAAAAGCATGAAGATGATAATGATGATATTTAGCCCTGGCCAGTGTGGCTCAGTTGGTTGGAGCATTATCCTGTACACCAAAAGGTGGTGGGTTCGATTCTCAGTTAGGCACATATCCAGACTGCAGGTTCAATCCCCAGTCGGGGCGACTTCAGGACTGATCGTTGTTCTCTCTCTCTCTCTCTCTCTCTCTGAAATCAATTTTATTTATTTTTTGTTCAGACAGAGTGGGAGAGAGAGAGAGGAAGAGAGAAACATCGAGTGGCTGCCTACCACACGACCCAACAAGGGCTGGGGACCGCTGAGTCAAACTGGCCAGGGAACTCTGAAATCAATTTTAAGAAAATTAAAAGATAATATTTAAATTCACAGGAACTGAGGTTGTCATTTAGGAAGAGAGCATAAGAGAAATGTCTCGGGGCCAAGCCCAGATGAACCCCAGCATTGAGGTTGGATAGAGAAAAGGGAGCCAGAAAGGAGAGTAAAGAGTGGCCAATGAGGTAGATGGAAAACCAGGAAAGAAACTGCGTAAAAATGGAAGCTCAAGGGGGTGTTGTAAGGACATAGAGTGAGTAAACTTAGGAAGGAGAGATGAGAAAAGCCCTGAGGTTGTATCCGAGTCCTCTCCCCTTATCAATCACCTTGATAATAAGGAATAAAAGGTCCTATCCAACCCTATCACCTGGAGGCCCTTGGCGATATAAATCCTGTCCACTTCTCAAGCCTTATTGCTCATTTCCTCCTATTCTAATTTGTAATGTCCTTGAATATTCTCTGTTCCCTCTCCCCAGGACTTTGGTCAGTTGTCTTCTCCATGCCTAGAAAATGTCTACATTTTCCTTGTCTTTGCTAGGATTACTGGTTCAATTTGTAAAGACGATAAGTTAAAAACTGACTTCAAAAATTCTCCCCAGATAACTTATATTTACCTTCCTATATATTTTTTCTTACATAGTTAAAACTCTCTATAATATACAGGTCTTTTGCTTAACACATTAAACTCCACGATACTAAAGGTTTCATAGAGATGTTTTTTAAACCCTGGTGAGTTTGGTTCAGTGATTAGAGCATGGGCCTGTGGGACCAATGAGTTGCAGGTTTGATTCTAGGCAAGGGAACGTACCTCTGTTGCGGTTTGTCCCCATCCCTGATTGGGGTCCTGCGGGAGGATGTTTCTCTCTCTCTCTCCTCCTCACACTCTGTATTTGAAGATAAATGGAAAAATATCCTCGGGTGAGGAATAATTAAAAAAAATTTTTTTTAATAGCTAGACACTATTTCAAAACAGAAACAAACATTAATTCTTTTAATGTTCTTTGTTTACAGTATTTTAAAATTTATAGATGCTTTGAAATATCTGTAAGTTTTCACATTAATTTATTTTTATTTTTAATCTTCACCCCAGGATATTTTTTTCCATTTATCTTTAGCAGAGTGGGAGGGAGGGAGGAAGAGAGAAAGAGAGAGAGAAATATGGATGAGAGAGAAACACATGGACTGGTTGCCTCCGCACAGCCCTAGGCACCACCCCAACCAGTGCTGGAACAGAACTGCAACCAAGGTGCGTGCCCTTGACCAGAATCCAACCTGTGACTCATTGGTCCTGGTCCGCAGGCGGACACTCTAATTGCTAAGCCAAACTGGCCAGGGCCACATAAATTTACTTTTTAAAAATCCTTCATAAATGGCAATCTCCTTTCTACCCAAGTTCTTGCAATTTACTCTTCTAAGATTTCTGCCTTAGATTGTTTAGATCCCTGATTTTCAACCCGTGTGCTGCAGCATACTGGCGTTGAGACGGTAAAACATGCAATACTTGACTAGTCAGGGGCACTGGCCTCTTTGTCCTTAAATTGTCAAATAAAAGAAAGACAGCCAACACAATAGCCGTCTGGTGTGAATGAATCAAAATTACACCTATTTTATTATTTTTTTGTATGAGAGGGATGGATGAGATGAACCAAAGAACATATATGCATGTATGCATAACCAATGACATAGACAACAATGCTGGGGGGTGGGGAGGCGGGCTGGGGAGGAGGGTGTCTAGGGGGTAAAAAGGAGAAATATCTGTAACAAGAATAAATTAATAAAAATCGGAGGGGGGGATCAGCAAAAGGTATATTCTCTGTTGTGTCACAGAATTTTAATAATTAGTGCGTGCCGTGAGATCGAAAGGGCTGGAAATCGCTGGTTTAGAACTCATCATGGACGCAGTGTGAGAATGGATGTGGGTGGGGAGGGGTGGAGACACATTAGAAGCTCCTGGAGTTGCCTTGCTAAGGGACCTGGGTGTTCCTGCAGCCTTGCCACAAAGGTATGGCCCCGATCCAGAAGCATCGTCAGGCACACTAGTGGGAACTCATCAGAAACGCAAAACCTCAGGTCCCAGCCCATATCTACCATTCCAACCTGGACTTGAACGGGATGCCCATTCAAGGGTGAGAAGCACCGATCTAGACGGTGGTTCCAAACTGCTCATAGTAGAAACACCGGGTAGCAGTAAAAATTCCAATGTCCAGGTCACATCCTCATACCAATGAAATCAATCTCTGCTAGTGGGACCAGAAAGCAAACCTCTCCGAAAGGGTTCCCAAGTTCAGCCAATATGACAGCCTGCGGCGTGAGTCAACAGTGGCTAGTCCGGCTCAGGTAGCTAAGAAACAGGCATCGTAGAAGAACGTACTGTGCAGTTCGCTGTTTGTTTTGAATTTTGCACAGTGCGCACCTAGTGCCAAAGTAAGAAAGAAAAACTGAGACGTGTGGCAAGGCCAGACAGACGTGCCTCTGGATGAGGCGATAAACCAGCGAGACAGGAGGCATCTGGCTGCTCAACCGGCGCAGCGCCGCCCGCCCCAGCCCGTGGGGTCCGCCCTGCCCACGTGGGCCGCCTGTCCGTCTGCGGCCCTTGCGCCCTCCCGCGCGCAGCCCCGCGAAGCGGGGCGCAGGCGCGGTCGCCCCTGCGGCTGGGGTCGGCCTCCGGTGACGTCAGCACGCCTCGCGGGTTCCAGCCCCTCAGCCCGGCCCCCAACTGCCGCGCGAACGGGACGGGGGCGGAGGCCCGGCCCGTTGCTCTATCCGCTCTGACCGCGCCAGTTTGAATGAAAGCTCCTCAAGATGGCGGCGGCCGGGGCCGAGGCGCGAGGAGGTGAGGGCTAGAGAGCGGCGTCCCTCACTGTCCCCCGTTCTCCGGGCGAACTCCCCATTCCGGGAAGCGTGCCGGGACGCGCGGGCCAGGCTGAGCGCGCCGCCGCCTCCCGCCGGGGTGACACCTGAGCCCCGAGATGCGCGCCGCGCGCTTCACCCCTCCCCCGGCCCCTGACCCTTCTCGCGCCTGGGCCGGCTCGCTCCCCGGGGTCGCCCCCTACGCCCGAGCCCGCGCGTCCGCCGCCGGGATGGGCCCCTCCCGCCCCGCCGAGGTCCCTGGGGCCCGCGGCCCCGCCCCGCCGGGGGGCCGTGTGGAGGTATTCGGGCGGCCGCCGCAGCGCCGGCGAATCTAGGGGCTCGAGTTCCCGTGGGTGCGCGTGTGGCTTGTCTCCTTTGTGGTGGTTTGAGCGGGAGGTGTGTTCGGGCTGCTTTTAAGTGGGAAGCGGGAAGAGCCCGGCGGTGTAAATGTGACCTCAGTATCGGGAAAGAAAGAAATTGGGGCTGAAGTAGGACGGCTAAGAAAGGAAATAAGCGAGGATGCACCCCAATTCGGCCGCACCAGGAGGTTAAATGTCTCCGCGGAGATGATCCCAGGAAGTGGTGTGTGAGGATGTAGCCTGGACCCTGGAGTCATTCTCGGGTCCACCACGAGCGTGTTACTGCGTGGACGCCAGGGAGTTAGGGACTGAGCGCGTTTGTGTTCTTGGGCGCCTTTTGAGACACTGGAACTTTGGTTGCTTTCTAGAACGTAAAGGTGTTTTCCAGGACTCTTCCTCTCCACGTAGATTGTGAAATCTTTGTCCTCCAAATTTTCTTTCCCTGGAGATGACTGTGAACTATTGAGAGATTTTTTTGGTGGTAATGAACTGTTTAATCTTGCAAATGATTGTTTCCCCTACGTTATAGGTAATCAAAATTGTTACCAAGAGTGTTGTGTGTGATTTTTTTTTTCTTCTTTTTTTACTCAATAGCATTTCCATGGAAGGTTGTGTCTGGTTGTGTCTTGAATCTTGTTGCTTCAACTAGATAAAAATGGTAGCAACAGCCGACAAATCACCTGGGGTAGATATCCTAGAGGAACCTCTTTTGCATGTGATCAGCATAATGAAGTTAACTTGACACAAAACATCCTGAAGGTTTTTTAATGGAAAGGATTTAAAGGTTTATTTCTGTTCTACTGCTCTTCTATCCCCAAACCACCACTCTAAAAGCAAGCAACCTCTACTCCCAAATATTTTTTGGAAGATGTCTTACTTTCTTGATCTAGAATTACGAGTCCTTTGTAGGAAGATGGGGAGGAGGTGGAAATCCTGCTGCAGGGTTTCTCACCTTTTAGTCCCTTTGTGAGTGGAGGGTGAGAAATAGGTATAGCAAGAGCAGCTGTGGTCTCTCTAAATTACCTCAAAACACAAAAGGTTATCACAGTTACCTTGGAGAGCTACCTAGTAAAACTTGAGTTTAGTGTAGGTTTTGGTTGGTAACCCCAGTTTACTGCAGCACTCACATTTTTTTTGTCAGTGAATCTGAAACCCACAACCGGTGATCACTAGAGTCGTAGCTTAAGTGGCCTAGCAAAGCTGGGGCAGAGGACCTTTGATCTTCTCTAGTGCTTACCATACCACTAGCCACGAAACCAAGTTTATTACAGATATCTAAACATCAGTTTGTGTTAATATATTTTAGTAGCAGTATGGGAGCAGAAATCTGAGGGTAAAATCTGCAGCACAATTAGGTATTGGCTACTGGAAGACTGATTATGAGTGGGGCTGATTTTCTCCAAGCTTGGTATAGGGGTCATATAAGTTGAATACTCTGTTTTGTAATTTTTGGCTCTAAAAAACAAGACAGGAAATGAGTATGACAAAAATCAGTATACTGTCCATTATTTTATTATAACTCTGGGGTTTATTCCCTTTCATAATAATAACATTGCAGCATGGGCAAATAAGTAGAGTTAAAATTTCATGCAACATTGCAAACTGGGAAAAGTAGGACATATGATTTATGAGCATGTAACTATAGACTATTTCAGATTTCACCTCCTATTATCCAACTAAGAAAGAGGGAAGAGTTTTTAAATTTTTAACAAATTCTAAAATTGTTTAAAATATATTTAAGGTATATCTCCAACAGTAAGTAAGCCCTAGAGATCTACATTTTATTAAAACAGCAATTATAACCTATGTAGACTATAATGAAAAAGTAAAACACATTACCCCTTTTGACCGTTGCATCTATATGTAATCTTAACGCTTACAGACATGAAATATTTTGTTCAGGTGGCTCGCTAGAAATTAATTGGCATCAGTTAAACATAAAAGGGCATGAGAAAAGTCTGAGAAGACCAGTTTACCAAAATAGTTCTTTAATGCTTAATTTTATCTTGAAGACACAAATGGTTTCCTGTCATATGAATTTTTAGTCCTATAAAATTGCCAGTAGAAGGGTGGGGATATAGAATTCTTAAGTTTTTCCTTTTCCTTTTTTGTTTTAATTCAGTAGCTATTTCATTAGTAAAGAGTTCTATTTTCTTATTGTAGCTTGGTGTGTGCCTTGCCTAGTTTCACTTGATACTCTTCAGGAATTATGTAGAAAAGAAAAACTCACATGTAAATCGATTGGAATCACCAAAAGGAATCTAAACAATTATGAGGTGGAATACTTGTGTGACTACAAGGTAGTAAAGGTAAGGCAAATATCTAGTCCCTTAAAAGAGACTTAATCAGACTTCAGTATTTCGTATTTGTGTAAGATAAAAAGAAACTTAAAAGTAAGCAAAGCTCTTCTTAATGTTTAAAATTCTAAAATATAATCATTTCTGTGTCCTGTCTCTATTACCAAGTAACATTGAGAGGATTTTGAAGCGTAAAGTGTGCTTGCATTAAAATATTTTAAGGTGCTTATATCATTCTACATCCAACTCTTGATTGTCTCCGTGTGCGGGTTACCAGAGCAAATGTTTTACCTCAGATTGGCTCCTCCTGGGATTCATTTTGTTCCTGAATTGTATTCTCCCACTATCACCTGAAATGAACTTAGAAATTCAAACCAAGTTTAGTGTTACTGAATCCCCTCAAGAAGCAGCACATTTATATTTCCTGCCAACATGTTAAGCTCCAGATATTAGTAAGGTTCTGTGGTGTGTAATAGAATGGCTTGGGATTTAAAGTCATTCCTAGCCTTTGTTTAGTGTCTAAAGACCTCAGCAAAATCACAATTTCTCTGGGACTTACTTTATTCCTATTTCTTTTAGAAGTGACAAGGTTGTTCTTCTAAGAAGCTTTTTCAGTCTAAATGTTACAATAAATTCTTGAGTAATCAACTCTATAACCTATTCTCTCTCCAAGAATTCTCTTTTGGTCATTAGTCTGTCAGTTCTACCAGATAATCAGGAATCTTGTTTAATTTTGGTTTTCTTGATCAGATTCCATATAGATTCAGTCATTAAATCCAGTTCTACCTTTGAAATATCCATCTTCTTTTGGTATATCACTGTCTTCCTCACTCAGTGGGATTTTATGATCAAGCATTTCACTGCCACTCTTCCCAACAACCTTCAACCTCAAAACAGCCCAGTCATTTGCCTTCACAGTTTATAACCTCTGGCCTGAGCAATCTAGTTAAGAATATCATATAATCACACATATTGACTCTATTAAAGCGTATTTCTTTTTTAAAATCTTTTGCTCTTTAAAAAATATGTTTTAATTGATTTTTTTCTTCAATGATATTTAGAGAGGAAGGGAGAGAGAGAGAGAAACATTGATGAGAGAGAAAGAACATCAGTTGGCTGCCTCCTGCATGCCCCCCACTGGGGATTTGGCCTACAACCTGGGCATATGCTGTTTTTATTAATTTTTAGGGAGAGAGGAAGGGTGAGAGAGAGAGACAGACACATCAATTGGCTGCCTCCTGCACGCCCCCTACTGGGGTCAAGCCTGAGACCTCTCAGTGCATGGGACGGTCAACCAACTGAGCCACACCAACCAAAGCTTATTTCTGTTCTCACACTGCTCAGTTCTGCTTTCTAAGCATTTTATTCTTTGCTTTCTTTTCTCATTCTTGTCAGCAGTTTTTCCAACTTTTATTTTTATTCTGGACTTCTTACTTTATCTCTCACCCTCTCATATTGGGAGGGATCCCTCAAATATAAACTCAGATTATCATCACACCATTTATTTGTATGTTCACTTATTTGTACTTTTGGAGTTATCACCATTTGTCTTTTTTATTATCCATCACCTTTAGGGCTTTGTTTAATCTGTGATGTCTTTTTTGTATCAGGCTCTCTCTTTCCACTGATTTATCCCAATCGATGAATCTGTCTCTTGACTGGTTTTGTAACTGGCAATTTGCACATCTGAATCCCTGCCCTTTTTTCACCCAACTCCCCAACCATCAATTTCTTCTCTGTGAGTTTGTTTCTGTTTTGTTTGCTTGTTTATTTTATTTTTGATTCCACATATAAATGAAATTATATGATATTTATCTTTCTCTGGCTTATTTCACTTAGCATAATACCTTCTAGGTCCAACTATGTTGTTACAAATGGCAAAATTTCATTATTTTTTATGGCTAAGTAATATTCCATTGTATATATTTACCACATCTTTATCCATTTCTCTATTGATGGACACTTAGGTTACTTCCTTATTTCAACTGTTGAAAATAATGCTTTAATGAACATAGGGGTACATATAGCTTTCTTAATTAGTGTTTTGGATTTTTTTCAGCTAAATACCCAGAAGTGAAATTGCTGGGTCATACAGTAGTTCTATTTTTAATTTTTTGAGGAACCTCCATACTGTTTTCTATACTGGCTGCACTAATTTACAATCCCACTAACGATGCACGACGGTTCCCTTTTCTCCACATCCTTCCCAACACTTGTTATTTTTGGATTTATTTAGTTACTTAGTTAAATTTATTTATTGATTTTAGAAAGAAAGAGGTAGAGAGAGAGAGAGAAACATTTATTTGTTGTTCCACTTATTTATGCATTCATTGGTTGCTGCTCTGACCAGAGATCGAACCTGGAACCTTGGTGTATTGGGACAACTTGAACCAATTGAGCTACCCGGTTAGGGCTTATTTATGGATTTATTGATGATAACCATTCTTTTTTTTTTCCTCACCCGAGGACACTTTTCCATTTTTTGTTCAGGTAGAACGGGAGAGAGAGAGAGAGAAACATTGACATGAAAGGGAGACATCAAGTGGCTGCCACCCGCATGACCCAACCATGGCCAGGGGCAAACTGCAGTCGAGGTACATGCCCTTAGCGGGAACCGAACCCGGGACTCTCCGGACTGCAGGTCAATGCTCTAACCGCTGAGCCAAACCGGCCAGGGAGATGATAATCATTCTTACACGTGTGAGGTAGCTAATTGCGGAATTAACTTGCATTTTCCTGATGATTAGTAATGTTGACCATCTTTCATATTGTCCTTTTTGGAGAAATGTTTATTCAGGTCCTCTGCCTATTTAATAATCAGATTTTTTTTTGGTGTTAAGTTTTATGAGTTCCTTACACATTTTGGATATTGTTCCTTATGTATTTTGGATATATATATATATTTTAACCAAAAATGTATTTATTTAATATATTCATTACAGGGCTCAACCAGAGAATTAATTTAAAAAAACAAACAAAACAAATATGATACCACAGCTGACGATACAGAGTCCTATACAGAAATCAAGGCAAGGACAGACCACCTAAGGAAAAAATAAAAAGAGCACACGGAGAGAGGCTGGACAGCCCGGGTCAGGGCTCTTGGCTGGAGACCTGCTTTGCATAGGTTTCTTGTAGGTACTTCTTAAAGGCTGTGGGGTTTTTCCAGAGCTCTGCAGCATGTGTGTTCAATGGGCTATCGATGTTGGGTTCTCCTAGCAGGCTCTGGATAGAGAGCAGAATGGTCCTGACGTCATATAGGGCAGACCACTTGTCCTTTAGGATGTCCAGGCAGATGTTACCATGGGTGTCTACGTTGGGATGGTAGCAGGGTGTGGGGAATTTCACCGTGGGCACATTGTATGGGTAGCCACTTGGGAACTCTAGGGAGAGCTTATACCTCAGGTCTTTCTATACTGTGCCAGCTGCTCCATGGATGGTCCCCACCCATTTGAAAAGGTTGTCTGATTCAGGGAAGGCAGAAATTCCTTTGTCACCAGACATCATGACGGTCATCAGCTCCTGCTGTAACCTCTTGCCCACCAGGCCGTGGGCGGCGCCCCCGCTGAACTCAGCTCCTTTACCAGCTGCAGTGACGCTGGTGGCGGCTGGGTCGCGGTTCTGGGAGGCCATGATCAGCGAGCAGCGCTGGTAGGGAGAGACACGCGAACTTGGAGAACATGACTGTAACTCTGGATATGTATATATTTTTTTATCCTCACCCAAGAACATGTTTTTCCACTTTTTGTTCAGATAGAGTGGGAGGGAGAGAGAGGAAGAAAGAGAGAGAAACATCGATGTGAAAGGGACACATCGAGTGGCTGCCACTGGCACGACCAACCAGGGCTGGGGACAAACCGCAACCGAGGTACGTGCCCTTAGTGGGAACCAAACCCAGGTTTCTCTCGACCGCAGGCCAGTGCTCTAACCACGGAGCCAAACCGGCCAGGGCTATTTTGTATATATTATTGGATATATTGACAAATATCTTCTTCCATTCAGTAGATAGTCTTGTTTTGTTAATGGTTTCTTTCATTGCAGAAACTATGTAGTTGGATGTAGTCTTATTTATTTTTTCTTTTGCCCCATGGGACATATCCAAAGAAATATCACTAAAAAGGATGTGTTTTCTTCCAAGAGTGTTATGGTTTCAAGTCTTACATTTAAGTCTTTAATCTATCTTTTAGATGGTATATGAAACTGATCCAGTTTCATTCTTTTGCATATACCTATCAAGTTTTCCCAGTACCATTTATTGAAGAGACTGTCTCCTTCATTATATATTCTTGCCTCCTTTGTCACAGATTAATTGACCATATAGGTATCAGTTTATTTCTGGGCTCTCTATTCTGTTTCCTTGATTTTTGCATTTTTTTAAATGTCATTACCATGTTGTTTTGATTATTGTAGCCTTGTAGTATAGTTTGATATCAAGTAGTATGATACCTCCAACTTTGTTCTTTTTTTTCCAAGATAGCTTTAGGTGTTTGGGGTCTTTTCGAGTTCCAAATAAATTTTAGGGTTATTTGTTCTAGTTCTGTGAAAAATGCCATTGGTGTTTTGATAAGGATTGCATTGAATATGTAAATTGCTTTGGGTAGTATGGACATTTTAATAATGCTAATATTACTATACATGAGCACCATATATCTTTCCATTTATTTCTGTCTTCTTCAGATTCTTCTAGTATCTTACAGTTTTCCAAGTATAGGTATTTTACTTCTTTGGTTAAATTTATTCATAGGTATTTTATTCTTTCTCATGCAGTTGTAAATGGGATTGTTTTCTTAATTTCTCTTTCAATAGTTCATTATTGGTGTACAAAAATACAACCTATTTCTGAATATTAATTTGTACCATGCTACTTTATTGGATCATTTATTAGTTCTTATAGTTTTTGATGGATTCTTTTTTTTTTAAGTCCTCACCCAAAGATATTTTTCCATTTATCTTCAGACAGAGTGGGAGGGAGGAAGAGAGAGAAAGAAAGAAAAAGAAACATCAATGCGCGAGAGAGAGACATTGATCGGTTGCTTCCCATATGACCCCAACCAGGGCCCAGAACCAAACTGCAACCGAGGTATGTGCTCTTGACCAGAATCGAACCTGTGACTCTTTGGTCTGCGGGCTGATGCTCTAACCGCTGAGCCAAACCAGCCAAGGCTATGGTTATTTTTTTAAATTTTTTTTTTTATTGATTTTAGAGAAGAAGGGAGAAAGAGACATAGAAACATCAATGAGAGGGAACATCAATTAGCCACCTCCTGCATGCCCCCCAATTGAGGATTGGGCCCATAACCTGAGCTTGTGCCCTGACCGGGAATCAAACCGGTGACCTCTTGGTGCCTGGGTTGACGCTCAGCCACTGAGCCACACCAGCCGGGCAATTCTTTATGGTTCTTTTTGTAGTATGTCTTCTTCAAATAATGACATACAGGTGAATTTTACCAAACATTCAAAGAAGATTTAATACCTATTTTCAGACTATTTCACAAAATTAAAGAAGAGGGAAGGTTCTCTCCCTCATTTTGCAAGGCCAATATTACCCAAATACCAAAACCAGACTAAGACGTTACAAAAAAAAAGAAAATTATAGGCCAATATCCCTTTTGAACATGGGTGAAAAAATTCTCAAGAAACAAAAATCTCAACTAAACAATCTAATACAGTTTAATTCTTTTTAGTTCAGATGCATTTTGCTTCTTTTCTGGCTAGGGCCTCCAGTGGTATGTTGAATGAATATTCTTGTCTTGTTTCTGATTATTTATTTATTTATTTATTTTAAGAATAGTTCATTGATTTTTAGAGAGAGCACAAAACATTGATGTGAGAGCACAACATCAGTCAGCTTCCTCCTGCACATCCCCTACCAGCCTGCAACTCTCACCTGTGTCCTTGACTTGAAATCAAACCCGCAATCTCCTGCTGCACAGGATGATGCCCAACCAACCAGCCAGGCATGTCTTGTTCCTGATCTTAAAGAAAAAATTTTTACCTCTCTACCATTGAGTATGATATTAGCTGTGGGTTGTCGTATATGACCTTTATACTGTTGAGTATGTTCCCTCTATCCCTACTTTGCTGAGAATTTTTATCATAAATGGATATTGAATTTTGTCAAATGTTTTATCTCCATCTATTGATATGATCATAAGATTTTTATACTTCTTTTTTTATGTGATGTTTCACTTTGGTTTGCAGATATTGAACCAGCCTTGCATCCTGGGAATAAACCCCACTTGACCATGGTCTGCCTTTTTTTTCTTTGTTGTTAAAAGTGTTACAGATGTTCCCCCCCATTGACCCGCTTATGGTTTTTTAAATGTAATCCTGAATTCAGTTTGTTAATTTTGTATTGAGAATTTTGGGTATCTATGTTCAACAGGGATATTGGCCTATAATTTTCTATTTTTGTAATGTCTTAGTTTGATTTTGGTATCAGGGTAATACTGGCCTGGTAAAATGAATTAGGGAGCCTTCCCTCCTCTTCAGTTTTTTGTTTTAAGAACTCTTAATTTAAAAAAAAAATTTTTTTTATTGACTTTAGAGAGAGAGGAAGGGGGAGAGAGAGAAACATCGATGAGAGAGAACATTGATTGGCTGCCTCCTGCATACCCCCACTGGAGATTTGGCCCACAACCTGGGCATGTGCCCTGACTGGGAATAGAACTAGCGACCTCTTGGTACATGGGTTGATGCTCAACCACTGACCCACACTGGCAGGGCTCCTCTTCAATTTTTTATAATGGTCTGAGAAGGATAGATATTAAGTCTTTTTTAAATGACTGGATGTGAAGACTGGCCATGACTACAGCAGACAGGCTGCTGTGTGAGGGCTGACCCCACAGAACAGGAGTTGCTTTAGTGGGGTTCTGGTGCCAGCTGAGTCTGCCCTTCCAGTTTTTCATTTTTGGAGCTTGTTGGCTGGTGCTCTAGTGTGGCCTGAAGCTGGCTACCAGGTGTGTTGGTTCTGGAGGCTCTTGGGAGGGGCTCCAGTGCAGGCCACATCCATCCGCCATTTGTATCCAGCTTGGGGCTAACTGGGAGTGATGTGCATTTGGTAGCCACCTGTGCTGGGCTTGGAAGCTCCTGGGAGAGGCTGTGCTGTGAATCGAGGCCAGCTACCTCTTGTGACAGGTTTGTGGCCACTTATCTGAAGCTACTTTCCAGGCCAACCCTAGCTGCAGCTTATGCCAGGCTTTGGGCCCCCTAATGGGAGTCATCATGCAACTTGATACTAGTTGCTTCTTGTGCCAGGCTTGGGGCTGCTTAGCAAGAGATACGGGGCACTTCAACTTCAACTCCTGCCTCTGCTTGTTAGGGGTTTGTGGACCTTTGACAGATTTTAGGAAAGTGAATCAAGGCAGGCCCACTGGAGGTGGCTCTTGGGTAGGCTGGGATCTCGGAACCACCAGGGCAGGGAGGACAGTAATAACCATGTTAATGGAGAGCTCAGATTTGGTGCCCACCTGCACCTGCCACTTCCAGTGGGCCTGCCTTGATACCTGCCAGCACTTCTGTCTCCAGAAAGAGCAGCTCCATCCCCTGTCCCTCCAACCCTTGCCCTGAAGCTGGTCAGTTCAGTTCCTCTGGCACTCTTCAAGCTGCCACTCCTGCACTGGATCCCAGAGCGAGTCAGTTTGTGCGTGAGTGGTCTGTGTGTGTGCACATCAAGAACACCTCTGTCTCCTGTAGCCCTCTGTCTCCGGCAGCCTTTCATCTCACTTGGATGCAATCCCCGCTCGTTTTCTCAGCCAGATGTTACGGTGACTTCACTTCCAGGCTCCTGCTTGAGGTATCCCTTGCTCCCCCCTCGCAGATACCTTTGTGGCCGAGATATTTCCCCTGATTCTTAATTGCCACACCATGGGTGTGGGACCAGCTTGTTCTGCATTTTTACCCCTCTTACCAGTTTTGTCATAAGGGCTTTTTTATATCCTTAGTTATAGGACTTCTGTTTAGCTAGTCTTCAGGTGGTTCCCAGTGATGGGTGTTTTATAATTTAGTTGTAATTTTGATGCAGTCATGGGAGGAAGGGAGCACAGCATTTACCTACTCCACCATCTTGACCAGCAGTTCAAATTATAAGCCACATTCTCTCTCTGTCTCTCTTTGCCTGCCTGTCTCTGTTTGCCTTTCCCTCCCCCCCCCCCCTGTGTGTGTGTGTGTGTGTGTGTGTGTGTGTGTTGGGGGGGGGGGATTGATTGATTCAGGGCAGGTGAAAGATCTTATGACCCTGTCTTTTTCTTGTGTTTTCCCACTTAGTTCATAAAGGACACTGTCTCAATATCATATTCCTCAAACTCATTACAGTTGTTTCTGGCCTTTAATGGCTCCCTGTTGTTTACCACTTTAAGGTGAGACCCTTTGGACTGAGGTTCTTTATCATCTAGCCAGCTTCATGTCTTATCACATATTCTACTTTCTATCCACATTGAAATACTTGTAAATTCTTTCATAAAGCTAAGATTTACTGACAACCTACTGTAAGCTGGGCACTCTTCTAAGCATTAGGAACATAGCTTAAAAACAGGCATAGCTTAAATTCTAATTCCTTGTGCATGCCCTTTTGCATTTCTCATCGAGTTCCCTCTTTGGAACACTATTAATTACCCTTCTTTCCTTGGCAAAAT